ACAACCCACAGCGGAAGAAAGGACGGTCTCCAAAGCTCCAGCGAGGGTGGGAAGGACCTTATCAAGTCATCACCCGCTTGAATGACGTCGTCTACCGTATTCAGGAATATCGGAAGCCGAGAGCAAGAATGAAGATCGTCCATTTGGATAGACTGGCTCCGTACCATGCGGACACCGGAACGAAAGCTGTTCGGGACGAACAGAACTAAGAAGGGGGTAATGTTATAACCGTGCTACCGAACGCACTAGATTCTAGCGTATTCTAGAATGTTCTAGTGACTGGAACGTTCTAGAGTATGCTGGAATCGGACCATCGGGAAGAATCTAGAAACGACGCTTGCGAAGAGTATATAAGCGCACGTCGCAAGATATTTGTGATTGGTGATATTCGTGATTGGTGATATTCGTGATTGGTGATATTCGTGATTGGGATATTCGTGATTAGTGATATTCGTGATTAGTGATATTCGTGATTAGTGAAATTCGTGATTTTGTGAATAGCGATTCGGTGAATTATTTAAAGCGATATTTGAATTGTTTGTTGACGTTGTCATAGCGATAGATTTTGAAAGATTTAAAAGTTAATTGTTGCGTTAGTGCGAATTTACTGGAAATAAACGATTAGTTGATTTCTTCTGTAAATAAAGTTTAATAACTAATAATAGTTGATTTCTTCTGTAAATAAAGTTTAATAACTGTTTGGAGTATTTTATTCAATCGAAGATTTGAACCCGTCGCATCGTAAACCGGTTACGACAGCGAGTATTATAACAATATACATATGCACTTACACACATGTACACACATGTACACACACACACACACACACATTTACGTATCATTTCAGATCTTTCTTTTGTTTAGATGTTTTTCGTATGTTCGTTCGCTTTCTATTGAATTTATAATTTTTGATAATTTTCTCATTAATCATGTTGACTCTTTCATGTGTATTTATTGTTTTTTATTCATTAATTTTATTTTACTATTTCTTTCAGTCAATCATTAATTCGTTAATTCGTTCGTTCGTTCGTTCGTTCGTTCATTCATTCAGTCAGTCATCTGTTTGTATTCATACATTCATCTGTTCATTCAAACGTTTATGAAGGACACAAACATACAACTCAATCGCTTACAAATGAATTAAATAAATATACATAATACACGAACACATATACATAGAGGCACGTAGAGACATGCAACAGACACAAAAAACATACACGCAGATCCACAGAAACACACACACACATACATACAAACAAACACACAAACAATTACACAAACTTACGAACGCATACACGTATACAAACACAATTACACACACACATGTACACACATACGTACACGCACACACACAACTGAAACAACTTTTTGTCGTCAAATAACTTGTTGATTTAAAACAAAACCTCAGCGGTGCACGTTCTACATACAACAGATGTACAGTACAGTGCATTCGTACATGAAACTTGTACCACAAATACAATGAAATACATTCATTTTATGCACATACACACGAACATACAAATACACATAATACATATATACAGTACATGTACATGCATACACACATACATACATAGTTATCTAACCAAACACATACACATACATGTGCTAAACGATGTATGTTTGATTTTTTGTGCCCTTCATTCATTGATTTGTTTTTAACACACACACACCACACACGCGCGCACACACACGCACACAAACAGGTATATATATATATATACACACGCGTCTATATTCAAAAGACGAGATTGTGTTTTGTTCGGTGAACGGTTATTGTTTATATTGTTGTGATAGCCAATCCCTTACCTTTTTGTTGAGGATTGTCTGCGCTGGCTCTGGCAGAGGCGTGTTTGCCTGCCTGAACCTAACTAGCTTTCGCCTACACACGTCACAGACTTTTGATCTGTATTTTTTTTATTTAGTTTTGTCTCTTATTTTGTTCAGTGAGTTGTTATTTTATTCATTGTTTTTAGAGTAAACGTACTAGATGATTGAGTATCACTACACACATGTATCTTAGTACGAGATGATTGAGTATCGCTACACACATGCATCTTAGTACGAGATGATTGAGTATCACTACACACATGTATCTTAGTACGAGATGATTGAGTATCGCTACACACATGTATCTTATGAAAACACGAGCATGAAAAGTCATTTTTTTAAATACAAAAAAGATTTTCCGGGGTCGGATGAAAAATATCCCACTTCGACTCGGCCCCTCAAAAATTCAGACTCCGAAAAATTCATTCAACTCCGACACCCTGATGCTAACGACCAGCTTGCCAAATCAATAGTCTCCTTTGTTCGGTTCAAACATCGTCTTTCGAAGAGAGTATTAGATTGAATGCAAAATTAGATTTCATTTTTCAACCAATTCATTCCTTTCTAAATCTTTCTGTTGAAATGTTCTGTTTATTTATATTATAAATGCTTAAATCGGGTTAAACTTAAATACAATGATTCACTAGCCATTTTTCGCATGTTTAATAATGTGTTACATAGGTTTGTTGATTGATTGTAGTTTTATGAAAGCCGCTGTGTAACGTTATTCTTTGTATTCTATTCTACATGCTTTGTTTGATTATAAACTCATTGATGCAGACGAGAAGGTTGTATCGTGTTATTGCAGGTCTGCACGTACGTACTCCCTGCCAGCCAGTACATGATGCTGTTTATTGATCGCGAATTGTGATTTTCACATACAAATTTTTCATGATTTATTGACATATATAATGCCATTTAAAATAGAGTGTTTCAGATCAATCCTTTTTCGTTATTGTTCGTCGTTTGAGTCTTTTTTTTATTTAGTATCTATTGTCATTATTATTATTACATATAATAACAATAACATTAACGTTTAATTAGTTTTTGAATAATCGTTTAATAATATTAAGACACGTTTTGCTGGACCTACCTATCACCTGTCACATTCAAAGCTAGGAAATAAACTGTTGTCCACTTATCATCATCTCAATTCTAATTGAACCTTATTGGCTCGTGAACGAAGAGAAGATCAATATTTGCATTGTTCAACACTGGGTTTGATGATTATTATATAGGTATGTTGATAAAGCAACTATGCCCTGCGAGTTAATAAATCTTATGAAAGTTAACTTCAAAATTTATCATGTGATTGAGTGAAAGAGTTAGAACTATGGTTTTATTTCATAAGTGCAACGGAATGTGCAAGTTTCGCTTACATGGTCCATGTGAGAAATTCGCTAGCCCTAAATGACACAATTACAGTATAACATCACCTTGAGTTACTGAAACTCTTTTTTGAATGAACTCTTGGCCTGGAAGATATGAAATGATGTTGCCATTTCTTCCTCTGTTGTTAAGCTGCACACTTCACTACATTGTCGTTGAATACCAAAAGGAGTTGAACATGAAACATGTAGTATTTAAGATGATTCTGCTACCATTTGCTAGTGCCGTCAACATGATTAATTTTTGCAATGGAAGTAACAGTAAAGTTAACTTGGATGTTTAATTTTTGTTGTAAGTATGAGAGGTAGGGTTGAATGGTTGATCTATTGGGTTTTTTTATTGCTCCACCAACTACATTGTTCTATTCGAATCCGCTTTTAGTTGGTTTTCTTTGTTGTTCTTCGCTACCATTAGATCAGAGGCATTAGCGCCTAACACAACAAACTTGCTATAAAATTTCGTTTCATATTATTTCATTAAAATTGTCACGCAAATCTGACGATTATTTAAAATAATGTCGGTCAGATTTTCGAATGAAATCTCAAGCAATGGCAAAAATGCAAATAGTAGTGGATACAAAAACACAGTGACATCAACTCCTGACGACTTTATGACGAGTGCCTCGTCCGATGATCGCCAGGATAACATTAAATATAACTATCTGATTAGTGCGCTGATTGATTATGCCAGAGCAGAAGGTGTCTTGAAGGATGTAGAGGCCAGACACGAATGTTTAGTCTCTAATTTTAGTTCTTATGATGCTTCCAAACTGGGGTACAACAACAATGGAACTGCGAAGTTCAAGTTAGATGAGGAGAAGGCTTTTACATCTGATGAAGAAAGAATAAAATTTATTGTGGAAAACAGACTCAATGCCTTAAACAAAGAGGTTGAGCAGGAAGTTTTGCTTGAAACAGTTTCCAAGAAAAAAACTCTGATGAAACAAAGTCAATTAAATAATCAATCAAATCAACGCATGACATCAAAGTTGGTTAGTTCAGTCAATACATTGCCAGTTAATTTAAGACCAAAGTCTAGAAACCCACCTACTTTCACTAACAGATCAAAATTTATCAAGACTACTGATCCACAAGAGCAGTCAAAATCTAAACTGACTTTAAGTAAAAGTGTACAAACTATAAGCAAGTTTAAGAAAACATCACAACATTCCCACAAGCAAAATGATATTCCTTACAAGTTTGTGCCATCAAACATATCAGAAAACATAAATTCAGGACCATTTCAAGCGAGTCACCCACCTTACATCCCATTATATCAGAGGGGGCCAACGTATCAAACCCCACCAAATGCACCTCGTGATGTCAAATATGTCATAGGCGTTAATGGCAAATTGATACCTGTTGTTAGAAATCTGGGTTTTACAGGTCGGTCATAAATTATTTTTTGAGTTTGTGTAGTTTAAAAGTTATATATTCATTTTTTATAACATTTTTAGATTTGTAATTTAAATTTTTTTGATTTGTATTTTATAGTGTCTGTATAAACTTACTGTTTTTTTGTACAGTGGTGAAAAATGACCAAAACTTGCCAGCCAACATCAGCAACCTTGCTCAACATGTTAGCACACTAACAACATCAACATCTGTAACATCAACAGCTGCAACATCAACAGCTGCAACATCATCAACAAAACCACCACCAACAACAACAACAGGCATAGATGCATTCATACAAACATCTCTTGACTACAACCACAACAACTGCCAGAAATACAATGATAAACATTCACTGTTGATGAACAAAAAATCAGTTGGCGTAAACACACCTGATGATTTGTATAAATTGAATGTCATTTCAAGTACAACTTCTACTAACACAAACACGGTTCCTGCTACTAATGTTATTGATAATAATGGACATAATGGACTAAATATCAATGCTACTAATTATCAAGTGAATGTAACAAATGTAAGCACTACTACTACAATTACTGCTACTAGTAATTCAATTACATTTCCGGGTTCAGTTAGTAAAATCAGTCAGACACAGCAGACCAGTTATGAAAAAAGAGAGAAAAAAAATGACGATAATGGTAGAGATGATGAGGAAGAGAATGATGATGCCAAAAAAAAGAAAGACGATGAGAATGACGTCACCTTCATAAAAACACCCTCACTTAGTCCGTCACCGTCTCACTCTCCATCATCATCACCATCTTCATCATTTATGTTCCCATGGACAGCCAAGCAGAGGTCTGCCTCATCTGAACCTAAGCTACCTACACCATCTCCAACGTTGGAGGTTGAGGAATTGGATGAAGAGCAACTTATTAGGTGTTTAATTACTTCTCATTTATTTAATTTCTTATATTTAAATTATTTGATTTCAATTAAATTTTTTAGTAATTATGTTATTTCAGTATATTTATTTGTTTATATTTTTTTTCAGAGTATCTATTTACTTATAAGGATTTTTTAAAAAAATTTTCTTTAAATTCATTAAACATAAAGAGATAGATACTTAATTTTAGATATAAATAAATAAAAATTAAAAAAAATTATGATACACGACTGAACTTAACATGAGGCTAATTATTCAGGATGAGGAAAAACAGAAAAGTGAAACTAATGAAAAGTATTTCCACATCGCCTATTCAAGATGCTTCCATGGTTGTAACCACCACTACCACAGTAGCAGCAGCAGCTACGACAGCTGCAGCAGCAACAAACAGCAACCCTGATGACATTCTACAAAAACTTTTATGTCGAATCGACGCTATCATGGACATGAAACTTTCCTCAAGCAACAATAACCAACAGCAGCAACAACAACATCAATTAACAATGCTGCAGTCATCAGCAAGACTAGCAACAACAACAACAACAACAGCAACAACATCTCGTCTTAAAGTCAGCAATTTCCATGGCACTTTTATTGATGCCATCAACATTAACGACAATGACGATGATGTCAACTTGAATTCACTCGACACACAAAACATCTTAACCACAGAGGACGACAACAACAACGACGACGACGATGATGCTGTTGTTGATAATTATGATGATGATGATAATAATGATAATGATAACGATGGTGGAGATAATTTCAATGCAAAGAGTAGCATAGATAAGTTGTTCACAGATGATACAGAAGTTTCATCATCGTCATCAGCAACGTGTAATGATATCATATCCGAAGGACAGTTACTCATTAGTGATGGCGAATTGATATCTATATCCATCGATCCTGGTTCTTATTTGCTTATTATTATTATTATTATTATTATTATTATTTTCTTGTCATTTTTAAACTATAATTTACTAAACATTAAAACATTATTAATTTTTTTTTGTAATAAAATATCCTATATTCATTTGCTTTATTCATTTATTCATTTAATTATTCGTTCATTCATTCGTTCGTTCATTCATTCATCCATTCATTCATCCATTCATTCATCTATTTATTTATAATTTTTCAGAAATAGAAGCCAGAATAAAAGGCTACTTACTCAACGAATTTAAAGAAATCTCACAGAGAGAAGATGGAGAATTGAGTAATATTATGTACGAAAGTAGCATCGTTAGTATTGGCTGACGAGATGGCGCATGGATGGATATAAGGCGTCTCTGGTGCACTTTGTTGTCTTATAAGTGGATCTAGGCATATTTATTCGTGTGTGTGTGCGTGTTTGTGTGCGTGTGTGTGTGTGCGTGTGTGTTTGTGTATATATGTGTGTGTGTGTTACTTCGCATTGTTATTTATTTTTACCATCGTTATTTTTTTTTGTTGTCTTCTGTAAATAAGCATCAATAACGCTACATTGTATAAATTATATTATATACAATATTAAAGTGATATTAATATATGATATTAAAGTAACTTTTCTCTCTCTCTCTCTCCACTTATCTCTACAGTTTAGTGAGGGCGAAATTAAACCAAGCACCAACCAATCACGTGGTGACATGAGTCTTCATCCTATTCATCCTTCCCATCACCATCCTCCTCTTCAAAGTTTGGTCAGTCAACTTCGACCCCGGAAAATTTATCGACCTAATAACGTCGGTCAAAAAATCCAACCAACGCTCAAACCGTTCCAGCAGTATAAACAACAACAACAACCACAACAACAACAACACGTAGACAACACAAGCAGAGTGATCAACAACACAGGTCTTGCCATGTCTTATAGTTTTTCAGAAGGTAAGGAGACTAATTTTTTCTATTTCAAATTTTAATATAGAATTTTTACAATGTTTTTTACAATGTTTATTTGTGGCAATCTTATTTTACTAGATTATTTCCACAAAAATTTGAATTTCTCAAAATGTTATTAATTAAAATCCACTTTTAAATTTATTTTCCCAGGTGAGATACCAGCGGTCGACGACAGTGAATTTTCTCTTTCTAATGGCAACCATGGTAACATCTGGAAAAATCTATCTTCTCATAAGAATTACTCTAAAAATAATAACAGTGACGTCATTCCCTCTCAAAACACTCACGCTAAAAATAGTAACAATATCGTAGACACTAATTTATGTTTAACTAATAATAATAGTAACGCTTTACGCCACAACAGCAGCAAAAACGTCAAGAGTAGTAAGAATGGTGGCGATTCGATGAGTGAATATGCCGATGAAGATGATGGTACCATTATTAGTGGCGATTATGAGAGTGGCGACAAACAAGATGGCGTTAGAAGTAATGTTGGTGATGATGGTATTGGTGAAGAAGACGATGATGATAATGAATTTAACAAAATGGTTTTAACAAATGCTGCTGCTGATGATGATGATGGTGGTGGTGGTGATTATGATTATAATTATGACTCTGAGGCAGACGTTAGTGGAGGTGATGATGGTGATAACAAAATGACTAATCATGGTAAAGATGATGATGGTGATGACAGAAATGTAAAAACTGGAGATATTTTCGAAGATGCAGATACGAGATTTGAAGATAGTTTAGAGCTGCTTAAACTTAAGAAGTAGTTAGTTAATCAATTTCTTATATAAATGTTATTTATTTTATTTTTAATAGTAGGCGTAGTTTTGCATCAGAACGACTAAATTTCAATTTTTTTGTCCTAATACAGAAAATATAATTAAGTTTGTTTTTATCGTGATTAATGAAGTATCATAATAATTTTTTCTAAAACTATTAATCCATTTTTATTTTCATCCAATTATTATGAATAATAATGAAGTTAAATAGTGAAAGTTGCCATTTATATTGTGGGAAAAGATTTTCTTCAGCTTTGGTGCATTATTTCGATAAAATAAATTTTAAATTGTGAAATCTCAGTGATTAGTAAAAGGCACATATCAATATCAATCATATATATACATAGAATAAGAATCAGGTAACGATTAATTACAATTTAAATATCCTAGCTATAAGTTCTAAAAATGTTTCAAAATGACGGAAGAAGTATGACAAAAATGACTAAAACAAAACGAAAAAATGTGAACGTTGTTAATTGCGATGCAGTGTTGCATCTGTCGGAGTTGCAACATAAAGTAAGGTCGTTCGGATCTTCGACCTTCTCGTTACATTTCTTTGAACAACCTCTGATCATTCTGTACGATCCGTCTGCTGCTGTTGTTGTCGTTGGTCCTTTGGAGAAGTGCTTCTGTTGGGCATGTTTGGTTTTCATCGACTAATTTAATTAATTTTTTTATTAATTCATTCAATCAATTAATTAAAACCAATAAAATTCATTTGTTGATTAATTAGTTTATTTATTCATTCACTCGTTAGTTCGTTCAGATTTATTTCAGTTGAACAATTAATTAAATAAATTTATATATACTTAAATTTCACTTATCAACTTTCAAAGGGAACGGACAAAAACTCGGTTTTAAAAAATTACTGAAGCCACTTACGTAGCACTGTCCTGAACATGGAACGAGCAACAATTCGTCCCAGTCCGACTCTTCAAACGGATCGTCACACTCCTTGCTGCCTAGGATATGGTCCGGATTTTTAGAATGCATGTAACTACACATATAACACATTGACTTTTTTGATTTTGTGTTCTCTCTTACTTCTCTCATCTCGGGAATGTTTGATTCGGGATTTATGTGTTGTTGTTGTTGTTTATCTAGTTTCTCGTCCGGATTGTATGGGTAGTGATAAAAATCAGGAACGCTTTGGTCGTCGTCGACGTTGTATTCGAAGCCGTAGTCGAATTGAAATTGTATCGGTGGTTGCTGCTGTTGCTGCGGTGTCGAGGTGTTCATGGCGTTCCTCTTCTGCTGCCGAAGTTTCGTTTGGTTCGTTCCAGTGCTGTCATTGTCGGAACATTCTACCGTGGTGGGATTTCAAAATTATCATCAACTGTTAATCTAGCAATCAGAAATTTTAACCGGACACACTGTTGATGGATTCGTTCAATACATCAAACAATCTTCAATTAATCGGTCAACCGATCAATCAATTTATCTTCAATCAATCAATCTTCCATTAATCAACCATTCAATCATTCATTCAATCAATTTATTTTTATAGCTCCATGTTATACCTGATTTGATTAGAAAAGCACAATTGTTTGTTTATAAACTTTATTTTGGCACACACGCTTTCATGGAGAAAAAAATGAAGGACTGAAGTAACATAGATAAAGAGGTAATTAATTGTTTCCAATAGATAGTAAAACATCTGTGTATATGTGTGTACGTGTGTGTGTACATGTGTGTAAATGTATGCGTGCATGTGTGTGTGGTGTGTGAGTGCCTTTATGTGTGCGCGTTTGTGTGTGTACGTGTGTTTACATATTTCGCGGAAAGGAAATACATTTCTTATCTAATTAAACCTTGTTTTCTTTCTTATGTTATCAAATAATGCATTCAAAAGGAATGAGTGAGAGATTGGTGGAAAATTATATGATGGATGGATGGATAGATGGATGGATGGCAGAACGATAGATTGATGAATGGATGGATAACTGAATAAATGAATGAAAGAATAAATATATAAATGGATAAATAAATGGAGGAGAACGCTTTCCAGGTTCGATAGCTGCAAAAAAACAATTCGCCCGAATTTATCTCATTTAAGCAAACATGACTGTGTGGTGCTTGTTAATGCAGTTGTAATGTAGTAATGCGAAGAATTTTTGTGGGGAAGACGACGACGACGACGATGATAATTATGATGATGATGATGATGGTGGATACAATGACTAAAATAGTGATGAAAAAGACGACACATATCTTCACGAAAACACATACACACATACGCACACACATACAATCGAACATACACATATACATTTATACAAACATACGTATGTATGTATATATGTATACATGCATACATACAACACTGAAACAAAGATTATGGTTTTAATTAAAAATTTCAATTAGTTTCTAGCAGTTTCGAGCACTTCAGCGTTACTACATGCTAATACTATATACTACATGCTAATGCTACACACACAAACAAACACACACGCACACAAATACACTCTCTCTTTCTCTCTCTCTCTCTCTCACACACACACGCACACAAAGCGATGATTTCACAAACATTCGGTATTACCGTAACTTAAAGTTAATAATAAAAAATGTATAATTATTTACTGGCTGGCGTTATTAATATGTGTAATAATAAATTCTGATTTGTTATCAAGTTTATATTTCATTCATCTCTCTCTCTCTCTCTATATATATATATATATATATATATATCATCTCTCTCTTTTTCTCCCCCCCTTTCTCTCTCTCTCTCTTTCTCTCTCTCTCTCTCTCTCTCTCTCTCTTCGTAACTCTCATCTTTTTTTCGGTGTACTTTTAACCTGACAACATTAGCAATAGTTTGCGAATGAGAATTTATTGAAACATGTTGAAAAAAAATTAAAATTTGTACGAGGGACACAGAGTGTACATACGGAATAATGCATGTATGTAAGTTTGCTTGTATGTATGCTTGTATGTATGTATGTGTGTATGTATGTGTGTGTCTGTATGTGTTTGTGTGTGTGTAGGCATGTATGTATGTATATATGTATGTGTATATATGTATGTGTGTACCTACGTACCTTTGTACTAATAAACATAAACATCATCTTGAACTTGCTCCTACTACCACCACTACTATTTCATTTTTGATGAAATTGTTGATGTTAACGAGGAATAAAAAAAAAATTTAAACATCACCAGCTCTGAAATAATAATATAATGATGATGATGATATGATGATAATAACAATAATAATAATAATAACCACGAAGACAATCGTGATAAATATAATTTCTAATCAGTTTTTGGCTATGACGATGATGACGAAGATGATTATTATTATGATATTGTTATATATGTGATTATGATGATAATGTTTTTGTTGTTGACGATGACGATAATATGATGAGGAGGATAACGATGAGGCTGATAACATTATTAGTTAGTTAATTAATTAGTTAATAAATTTGTTAATTAATTAGTTAATTAATTAGATAGATAAATAATAAATTACGGTATAAAATGTGATACAAATATTTGAAAATGGATTTTGGAGTATAAGTGTTTGACACCATTTAGCAGAAACAAAACTTTTCTTTCATAGGCTTACAATGTTCGTTCATCTACCAAACTCATTCACTCACTGTATAACATCTCACCTCCCATCAATCAACAATAACTAAACATCACTACGTATCTACCAATCACTCTCTCAATCTCTCTCTCTCGCTAAATTTTTCTCTTTTAACCTTTTCTTTCTTTTTTCTCATTCAATCTTTCATTCTCTATCCTTCTATCTTGCTATTGTCTTTTATATAATTACTTCTTTTCTGTCTCTCCTTCTTTCTCTCTCTCTTTCTCTTTCTCTCTCTCTCTCTCTCTCTCTCTCTCTCTTTCATTTTACTTTACCACTCAATCTTCTAAACTTTTATCTTTTCTTTCTTGGATATTCATGCACACTTGCATTCATTCGTTCGTTCGTTCCTTCATTCATTCATTCATTCATCCATCCATCCATTCCTTTATTCATTCATTCATTCATTCATTCATCTACCCATCCATCCATCCATTCATTCATTTATTCATTCATTCATTCATTTAATGTATTTCGACTAATTATTGTTTTTTTCATTAACATTTACCTGATATTTAAGTTTAATAATCTTTGTCTAATTTCTTCCTAATTCACGATTTTTTCTTAAGTTTTTTGTCTATGCTAGAACACATAAAAATATTTTCCCGCCATAACTTAGAAAAAAGGAGGTCAAGGTTACGCTATATATATTTGTGTGTGCTATTATTATTATCATCATCATCATCATCATATTATTATTATTATATTATTAGTATTATATTATTATTATCGTTATCATCATCAACATATTAATGTTACTTAATTTTTAGTAAGGTTTAATTTTTATTTATTATATAACCTTTCATTTAGAATTTAAAAATATCAAACAAAGGCAAAAAATAAAAAAGACATCCATAGGCAATAAAAAACAGAAAAAAAGAAAAAAAAGAAATAAAGAAAAACTAAAAAAACGTCATGAAAAAACTTTAGCAAATCATCCAAGATGGTTGTTGGCTTCTGGCTGGTGTTTTTTGTTTCGCGTACGTATACATTCATTCATACAATCTTAGACAGATAAAACAATAAAACAAACAAACACAAACACACATAAGCACATGAACATAAACAGCAATATATAAACAAACATAGACGATAAACAAGAAGATATATCGAAAATTCCAAAACCCACTTGAAAACGGTATTGAGACATAAACAAATACTTTAAAAAAAGTTGATAAACAAAAGTAGAAAGCGCTATATAAATGATCTATACATATACAAGCACACAAAAAAGCTTAGAGGTAAAAGCTTAGAGGTACATATAGAAACCTTGGAAAATAGAGTACACTGAATATAGCGGATTTTTAAACAAGCCACTACAAACTCCATTTCTTTAATTTTCCGAAAAACGAAAACTGATACTTAAAATTTACTAAAATCTAATCGAAAAACTTAGGAAGCTTCCAAATATTGGGACTTCAAAAACAAATAAAAATAAAATACATTTCACGTATAAGGTATACAAATAACACCGTTAGAGATAAAAAGAAAAATGCAATAAAATACAAACATACAATCCAAAACATACCACAAAGCCAAAAATGTTATAAATCCAGACAGTTGTTTGCATGCATGGTACGAACAAAAATACAGTTCGGTGTATAATACAACAGAAACCAGGCAAGCACACAAACGTACTATTATTTGAGAGTACAATATGTCGAACGTAACCCAAGTACACAAAAAGTACATACGCACCATATACAATGTAACTAAACAAAAAAACGTGTTAAACAAATACTACATGCTACAAGTATATACAGAAGTACTGAAAAAAAGTACATACACCCGACAAAAGTACACACGTGTGTACACAGAACTAACCAACGAAGCAGTTAAGATTGAGTTGTGGATTGAAGATGAGTAACAGAAAGATGATTGGCTGTATAAAAAATCCTTTGATAACATATCTAACCTCCATCGGTTTTTATTGCGTTCATAATTATAGACAATATATTATTTTGATATTATTATATTTTTCTTATTTAATTTTTTATATTCATTATTAAAGTAGGAAAATATCGATTAATGCTAAACTAATTATATTATCCGATAGTGATAGCATTAAACAAAGTAGTATGTCGTTCATTTGCAATGTTTAACACGTTTATATCTGTTTATGTTTTGTCGTTCCTATTGTTACGAGATAATTAACTTTTTAAAAAAATATGTTTAAAATTTATGACAAAATTATTGACAAAACTTAAAAATAACTACACAACTGAGATAATTTTACAGATAGCCAAATATCACATTAAACTAAAATTACTGAAATTTTCTAAGAATAAATGAATGAATAAATAAACGAACGAATATATGAATGAGTAGATAAATGAGTGAATGAATTTTAAGAAAACTCGAATGTAATGTAAACAAACAAGTACGTTCGTTCGTTCGTTAGTTCGCGAGCAAACCACACTACTACACTTCATACAAACATCACCACAGCCAACAATCAAATCTTTTTCTTCAACTTTTCGTTATATTTGTTCATATACTTGTCACTTATATATATATACGTATTTTAAACTGTGTAGGTATGTATGTAATGTATGTATGTAATGTATATATGTTTATGTATGTATATTTATATATAACTAGCTCGTGATATAACACAGAGCAAACCCATAAAGAGCAACAAACCAATAGTAACAATAAACAACAACAACAATAATAATTTATTATTATTAATATATTATTAAATTGTATCGAACTGTTAATAAAAAAAAGGATTTTATTATTAATAAAATTTTTTTAAACATTCATGAATGTGTGGCATAATGAGACTTAAGCAATGATCCTTTATGTCACATTGTATGTAGGTATGTGTTTTTTTTGGAATTTTTCATAGGAATTGAGCTATAGCATATGAACCTTGGAGTTGATGTAGAAAAAGAGAGAAGCATTTTCGTCACTGTATAATAGCCATTAACCACCATCGATTACACGATATACTATTTAATCTTCTCAGTAAAAAATATGATCTATGTGTGACGTATTGGGTGACCTCATAGATGACGTCATATTGCGACGTTAAGCTTTCAAGATTGATTATTATTTTGAAAAATGCAATAGGGTGTTTTTGGTCTTAAACTCCATGGCGTTTCCATTTAAAATGTTACACGGATTATTATTTATAAAATGATTTAAATTATAAATATTATATTATGATATCGTAGGCAGAAATTTACTGTGATTTCTTTTTAATTTGACGACATTTGTTGCCTATTTCACACTTTTTATCATGAGTTTCGCATTGAAACCCCTAATATTTTTACAAGTTTGGTGAAATATTGTTGTCCTTAGGAGGATAAAACAAAATTTATATACAGATGTCAAATTTAACTTTGACCCTAACAAAAGTGACCATCGAAGGCGGAGGGCTTCAGAGCAAAAGTTCTACCTGGCTACACCTCTGATCACTGCGCAATAGTGTCAAAACAGCTAGATTAAAACCAACAACAGCAATATAAACATTTTTTACATACAGATAAAACCGATTGTCAAATATTTACGATCCCCTAATTGCAAACGACGCATAACACATGAAACACGTAATGGGTGAAAGATCTATTCGAACCCGGTGACTACACGCACTGCGAAACGGCACCAGGTGACCTTAACCACTAAGCCATCACGAAGCAAGGGGAGCATGTGGTGAAAGCACTAATCCCTCGTGTCCTTAAATGAAAAAAAAATCATAAATATTGTTTTAAATTTAGTTTATACATAATTCATTTTGATGTATTTTCTTTCTTCAATAAATTAACTGGAAGTTTAGTTCCTGGCGAGTTGAACAACAACACTTTGGTGGCATACAGCTGCATCGATTTATTCTTCTTAAGTAAGTGAGGTAGTCTTGTGCAGAAATCATGACACATGGATTTATTTTTTTGGATGACATCAACATTTTTATTTATATATATATACATACAAATGCCAGATCTATCGATACACATCGTTTTTTCAATCACACAATTAAATGAAAATCTTTGTTTTTATATTCATCCTATATATGCACACAGAAATATCATATCAAAAAAGGCAATAAGAGTTGTCTTTCATTTATTTATTTACTACCAATTAAAAAAAAGTTGTTTATTCAATTCAAGAAAAATTTAGCGGCCATCTAGGACGACAGCTCTTTTTGTTCTCTTTTTGTATACAATTCTGTACCCACATTCTCGACATCTGATGGGGACCTTTGGGGTGATTTCATTTTCTTGATGGCAATCCCCACATATGTATATCATTGACGGCTGTTTAGTGGTCGTCGTGTTAGGGGCCGGGGTGGCCGAACCATCTCTTGGTGTGTCCATGACAAATTTCACCTTGTTTTCAAATAGTCTTTTTCTGTAAATTTAAAAGAGATAATGGTAATACTACAATTATAATTTGAAATTGAGAGTGCTAAATGATACTAAAAAAATTAATAAATGAAATTGTTAAACAAAGTTAATCCTAATTTTCTTAATGAACAATAATAAAAATTGAATATATTACCATTAACATTTTGACAAAAATTTTAAAAATATCAATAAATATAATAAAATAAATATTAATTAATTTATAAAACAGACTTTCATAATAAAAACAAAATTCTTAATTTTTTTATAATAAAAAAAATAACGTAATTAATTATAATAAAAATAATGTATCCAACTTTATTTAAATTGAGATTCGAAAAATCTTTACAACAAATTTAATAATAATAATTCAAAAATTAACAATAAATTAGTTAAAATTACTAATAACTTAGCAATAAACGAACCTATCCTAGTTTGGATTTCACCGCAATCCCAGATAAGCGTACGATGAAAGCGATAATGCAATCGTAAACAGGCACAGAAATCATAAAAATATATTGCAAGCTAATGCAAAGAATAATAATTTAGGGCGAAGAAAATTTTACAACCTCTCACGCATAGTAACAAAAATTAAACTTGCAATCTCATGTAGCACATTATTTTTATCTAATATGTAGAAACGACTAACCAATCAATACTTAACTTTATATAACGAAGTGAAATTCCAATCCAATAGAAAGAACTGGAAGGGAAGGAGTTGTTTGAAATCTAATTTCGCATTCAATCTGCTTTTTCCCAAAGGCGATGTTTGAACGGTCGAATGGACGAAGCCATTGATTTTGCATGTAGATCGTTAGAATTTTATGATTTTTTTTCTGATTAACATAGTTATAATGATACCGGTTCATATAAATGTAGATCTAGTGACCTAGAATAATGGCAGATGGCTATTATGAATGATCGAACCCCTGTGAATTAACTATACTTCATGTATCTCTTTTTTCTCGTCCTTTGTGTAAATTTGTGTTTATACACGTACATATTACACATTACATATGAATTCGTATATAACCTGAAGCGTATCTTTTGATATTTCACTGGATGGCCTAACGATTTTTAAGCTTATGGCAACAATTAACCGTGTTAAATCATGTGATTAACCCGGTTTATTTATCACTATCACGGATATTGTAATCTCTAAATAATCGTAGTGATTAGTATTTTCAACGCTTACAAACATTCCACATCCACACTAATTCGCGGATTAACTTGACCAGTTTTTAACCATCATTAATTCAAGCTCTTAACCCGCATAACATTACCACGGCACAGTAAATTTTCAAAGAAATTTGCTGTTTCAAAACGAAATTTCTTAGATCAATTCATGTACACATAATAAATTTATTGAATGTTGCATAAATTGTACTCCATTGAATGAAAATGATTAAACGGTTAAAATTGTTTTAATCACGTTAACAATTTTTTGAACAAAGAATTAAAAGCCATCATACAAAATATAGATTTTTATACATACATTCTTTTGTCTTTTTTAATTCTATCTAGTTATATGTAGATATATGCATCACATGTGGATGTATGTTGTTGTGTCATGTAATGTAATGCAAGTACGATGTACGTACATACGCATATGATGTGCGTCAGTATATATGTACCATATACAGTCAGATCAGATATAGGTTGGGGCGATATATGGGCTTTTAATGCATTGGTAATGGTTTTGTCATGTATAAAAGAATAAAACCGTCCTAGCATTTAATAAGAATTGTAAGCCACCCAGCGTAGTTGCATCGCGTCCGTCGCAAACTACTGCAACGCATCGCTCGTTAATGTTGAAGATGTTTGTGGAGATGGTACTTTTGTTTGCAAGTTCTCTACTCTTAGGACTTATAATAAATATGGTGAGATGATTTGTTATTTTTTTAATCTACACACTGTTTCATCCGGCAATTTTTATATCATTTCATCAATTTCATTTTATTTTACTTGTTTTGGAAATACATTTCTGTTGTTATCTTAAAAGTGCTGCAAAGTGCTTATGTTGAACAATTATTCTGCGTTTTCGTTTATTAATAAAGAAAACATTATGTAACAAAATTGTATTACTTATTACGTTATTTCAATACGAAAGTCTCACATTAGCACATCGCTGATTTATAGAAATGAATGGATTGGAAGCGGAGAGATGAAGTTTCTTTGAATGGAATACTACAACTATTAATCAGAGAAGCATAAGTAGGTTGTTAGGAATAGGAAGGCACGCATGCAATGCAGCCCAGGGCAGTGCACAAATTAATGGAAAAAGGAAGGAAACTGCAATTAGGTGATCGTAAATATTTGACAATCGGTTTTATCTGGAAATGTCAACGATACGTTGTTGACATGTATTTTATAATTTTATTTTTATCTCCCTTATTATTCGTTTGAAATTCAATGTTACAGACTTAGACTTATTTTTTGGTTACTCATCAACTATCACTGCGTCAAAACTGAGTCAGTTTAAAATAACGTAATTTTTGTGGAGTCTAATTTTAATTTACGTTCTGCAAGCTAATTAAACTCAAATAAATAAAATTTTTACTCTAAATTGACAGGAAGCTTATGAAACGGATTACACAATGAGCGAAGACTCAGCGGATGTCGACGACAACTTCGGTTACATCGTTCTAAACCAGGTTCGAAGGCCTACGTACGACTCAGTGGATGAAGATTTTAACAGGGAAAACCACAGGAGAAGCGATAAATATACAAAACCTGAAATGTACAGCTGTGAAAATGGCCGACCAGTGTTGAGAATGAAATATAAAAGCAGTATAAACGATTGCATCGGCGGCCATTACATCGACGAAAACGCGAGTTTCCTTCTGACGAGTATCTCAATTTCGTAAGCTACCTTTTATTTATTTCACTTTTTTATTTGTGGTTTCATAAATTAAAAATTTTTTAAAATGTTAACTTCTAATAAACTTTACAGGATCTATTTAACGAACGGAAATGTAATACGAAACATGGACGCACAAATTGACCCCATAGAAATTCAACTGCATAAATTAGAAGAAAATTACAAGCCGTCTCCTTATGACAACGTGAACACAGAAACAATGAACAGTTCATCAAGCGTATCTTTTGACAATTTGATCGTTGAATACTCGGAAGATGGCCTTACGTTTTATGATGAAGTGTCGAAGGAACTGTTGTTCATACCATTTCTTGAGAACAAAGAGTGGGCGAATGAGAGCATGGACGCGGACCAAATATCAAAGGAATATGATGACGATAGTGAAGAAAATTTTATAAAGTATGACGTAAGACCGGACGACGACGAAGACGACTATCCAGCACGTGAAACTGTAACATCACTCAAGCCAACGTATTTTAATAATTATATTACAAATCACAACCACATACTAACAGACGAAAAAACCAGAGAAAAATCAAAGTGGAACAAAAGCGAGATGTATCACACGAATATGCTCACAAACCAACTTCACAAAACAAAGCACTATGACCTAGATGAAAACAATTGGCTAGGAAAAGACGAACCCAGCTTAAACAAAAATCAAACGAGAATAAGACTTTTGAACGTAGGACTGATATCAATAACTACGTTAGCATTGCTACTATTAGGTTTATTACTCACATATTTAGGCTTTAAATGGTGCAAAAATGTTCCATATATTATACAAAATCAACAAAATGTTGTGGTGCTACCTCCAACAAGTGCTCAGAAAAACATCATTTCAAATAACAAATCAAAACCTGAAAATCAACAAATTAAATTTTTGCACTCTAGTGAAAACATAAAATGTACACGAAGCCAAATAGTGGTCAGTAAGACGACTGAGGAATTTAAAGATTACCAAAAAATCAACAAAAACAGTTCCTTTGAGTGGTATGTCTGATTTGAAGAAATAAACATTAACAAATCATTCTGACTGTCTGTTATACAATAAATTGAATCTCTGCTCATGATATAAGATGTTATACAAAGTGACAAAATATTATTGAAATAAAAAATTGTCAAGGTAATAAGTAATAAACCTGTTCACAAATTTATAAACAAAATAAAATATTTATATAATTCATCTGAATTCAGCTTCTAAGGCTTGACAATGTAATTGAGTTTGTGCAATTTCATGTAAAGATTTTTGGATTTGTTCAAGGAGGAATTCTCCTTTTGAGATAGCTTGCTCCAACTGCCTGGCTGCTATCTGGTTCTCCGTTTCAAGTCTTCTCAATGACGCTACCTGAGATCATGTAGATTGGTTGATAAATTTATTTCAAACCATCATTTTGATGGAATATATGACATAGCATGTAATATAAATACAGGTTTTAGATGAAATTTAAAATAAAACTTACATAGTTTAACAATAGTATTAGAGGCTAGAGTTTATGTATGAGCAAATATTGAACACATTGAATGACTTTAAAATAGCAACACAGAATTTAGATTAGCTAGATGTGTGTGTATGAAATCGGGTTTAATTACTTGACTCTAAATTTAAAAAAAGCTAACATGAAAAACTTTGAAAAAGCTTGCTACTAAAATTAGAAACTACTATTAATAACAATAAATCATATTATTTCAACATTAGGATTGTAACTTGAACTGAAAAATCAAAACAAAAATGATAAAAAAAATGAAAGATCTTGCGTACTTGAAGTTCCGGGGAGGAGTCCTCATTAGGCAGAGAATCAACCAAGATGTCGATGTCTTTGGCCGTTCTTGCAATCAGTTGAGCGAACAGCAAGGCAGTTTCATCGCTCGTAACTTGCGCCGGTTTTGTTGCTGAAGCGGATTTTTCGAATCCGGCAAACTGTCCAGGAGGTGCAATTTGTTGAAGGATTCCAACAGCGTTGCAGAAATGGTCGGCCAGCAAATTAGCTGCTTCTTGTAATTGAGTTAAACGGTCTGCCATGATAAACACAAAAATCGGCACTTCCGCAATCTACCAAATTCAAAACAATTTTATATTATCAAAAAACTAAAAAATTTAACCAACGGCGGAATTAAGCGACCTGTTATGCTTTTATTGTCGTTAACGATGTTTATATTTTGTATGGAAAGCGTACGTAAACTTTGAAAATTTCGAGCACAGCATGTCAGGCACTTATTGCGACGATATATATACCAGCAAATACCATAAACTTGCTTGGCTGTACAAGACCGTAAAAAAGTTACTAAATATGCATAATTATTATGCAAATGCATGAAATGAACCAATAAAAAAATAATTAAATAAATAAAATTTTAAAAAATATATAAATATTTATTAATTAACTATATAAAATGCAAAATTTGATAACAATTTGTTCATGGAAACTTAAAAGCAAAATCACTCTAAAGCGCACTAAAATGTGCGCGGGTGCGTTCGCGGGCCTGTATAGTTATATTTTAAGTATTTTGATAGAATTTATGAAAACACGTAACGATAATACTTATTGTTAATTTTGCATTTTTTTAATTAAAATTATTAAATTTAATATTTTTTAAAATCAATTAAGAGCGAATAAATCGCTTTAATGTACCAGGAAGTCAGATTCGGAAATTCCAGACTCTGCAAAGTAAACAAACATCGTGGTTCTAATTATATGGCAAACATTATTTATACACATTGCTTATGCATCGAAATTTTGATTATTCAATCATACGTCCGATTGTTATCGAAAATTTTTCAAATCAATGACAAAACTATAACAAAATACTTTACAACTACTTTTAAAATGTAAACATGTCATAAACACATTATTTTTTTATTTAAATAAAAATTTAAACTTAAGTCTTAAAGTAATATTTGTGTAATAAAAAGAATAATAATTCTTTTTTAAAAAAATATTCTAAATTCGAATTGAAAAATGGATGAAATGTACAAAATGATGTACGACTCGTTGTCCGTGAAGCAAAAATTAGTACGTGTCATAAAAGAGAACGCTCTGAAAAAATTCAAAGAAATTATTGAAAGTTCTGATTTGACAAATTCAGTGTTGGATAGTCAGTCCGAAGAAACCACGCTGCATATGTGCATTCGTCAAAAAAATTTAGAAATGATCAAATTCTTGTTAAAGAAGGGAGCTGATCCAACTCAAAAAAACCTTTTCAATGCATCATCCCTTGACATATGTATTGATGTAGGAGACGCTGATTGTATGATCGCACTTTTAGAATATTGCCCCATCAGTTTACATGGTTACTGGAAAAATTTCAAAACAGAAAATGAAGAAATTATTAAGGTGATGATAGTCGGTACCCAATCATTGAATGCTGGTAATCTGGATATAACTTATTTTAAAAGAAACGAATCTCCACAGTCAACTGATTTGAAAAAATTGGTTTATCTTACAAACAGTACCATCTCATTGCCACCCCATTTTCTGGTAAGTAATCTTGCTCTTCAAATGTTTTATTCAAGGTATCTTATACTGGCCATGCCGGTATTTTATAATAGTCTTACACCATTGTACCGTAGTCACACACCCATCAAAATCGGGTGCAGTAAACTCCCAAACAATATCGGTTGTGAGAATCGGAGGAACTAAAAAAGTTATTACAAACGCCTCCATGTCAACGTTCACGTCAAGTTTTAAATTTAAATATTTAGATAGCGAGAGCAGCGTCATAATTTGTGTGACAGGGAACTTCAAAGTAATGATATCCGCAACAAATGAAATATCATACAATATTATATAAAACAGCGTTCACTGCCAATTCGACGTTCGCGCTTATTGGCACGGTGCGATTCCGATGTGTAATTCAACAAGTTTTTCTGAATTTCTTTTTTCGTGTAGTTTTTGCAATGGCAATTTTAATTTAATACGTTTGATAATTAAATAAAAAATATTCAAAAATAATATCAATGGCGAAACAAAATATTTTTCAGAGTTCTCCAGACTTTAACGCTTGGCACCACACCATAGTTTGTGAAGTTCCAACTCTTAGGCATTGTTCGAGAATTTTTATAAGAAAATCATTTCGATATAACACCTATTACAGTTCACAAAGACTCGTACAGCTGCCGTCAGAAATACGAAAGTATCTGATCGGTTTCAGTGATTGTTTATATTAACCCAACCAAGTCAAATCGACCTAACGTGACTATAATGCATATTATATCCTTAAAATCTATAATTTTATTTTACATTTTGAGTTTTTTTCTCATCGTTACTTTTAGGCTTTTCATTTTTCTTGAAATAATTTCCTGCAATTTCTTTTTCATTTTTTTAAATTAGGTATTTTGTGCATGTTATTGATAGATGCGAGATTGTACCGTTATGTATCAGTGCTATCTATATAAATTAGTTTTTTAGTCGCAGTATAATAGTTTGCTTGTTTTCTTTCAATATGTACCTGAGTGTGGTGTTGCGTTATGTTTTTGTTACTATATTATGTATAGTGTAGTGAATTTAATGCGTCTATCCACAACACACGACGCACGCACAAGCACCGCATCATACGACTATGATATCGAATCTTACTTAAAGACCGTATGTTGTGACATTGGCTTGGCTATCATATAGTTAGAAAATATACTTATGAAAAATTTATAAAAGAACTTAAAATTTGCACATTAATGTACAAATCTCTAACACATTTCCCAAGCATTAATCAGATATTTTTAACAAACCCAAGCGGCGCGCCTTACGTATAGGTAGTAACTCTAATAAACAACGTCTAAATTTGTCATTTGTAATTCAAAGCATCATACACATCCCTTTTAAAATAATTGTAGGAGGAGCTTCTATTACGATCGTGTAGTAGGCGGGGCTTAGTTTGTTTACTTAGAAGCGTACGCAATGATCAAAAAGATAGTTGAAGAAAATGTGTTAGTTGGAGAACTGTTGATAGAACAGGAGAAAGTAGCTGAACTCTAATTTGAATATTTATGTTGTTGCCTCTTCAATACTAATAATTTAACGTAACGTCATGATTTAAAATGCTATGCTTCAGCATTTTAAAAACACGAGCTTCCAAAAAATTACTGTACCAGCTGACTGTTCCTTCACTTCACACGTTCATTTTTCAAATTAAATGTTAAGTAAGTAATGTTACTCGGTGAGTGGTTTCTTCGTTTCTAATAAATAAATTACGTTACAGTACAGATACAGACTAACTAATTGAAAAAACAGATCTATAATGGCAGACTATGCTATTCAAGTAATAAATTATTGTAATGAAATTTAATTTTGATAAATTGAAAAGTTCTTTTTCATTGAACATTGATTATATTATATTTATTTTATATATAATATAATAATAAAAAACAATATAAAATATTAAATGACAGATTTATCCAGGTGATACCTTTGGAATGATGTCTGGTAGTTTAAGCTTGGAAAGGAAGTTGCTGTGTGCAATTGAGAATGATATGTTAAGTGTTTTCAAAGAACTGATAGAAGGACCTAACGGTCCAGATTTAGTAAATTCAATTTTAATGAAATCATCCCGACGAACTACACTGCATGTATGCGCAAACAAGCACAAGAAGGAAATGATCAAAATTTTACTGAAGCTAGGAGCTGATCCTTTGAAACAAGATGGTTTTGGACATTCCTCGCTTGAATTGGCACTTGGACAGTTCGATATTGACTGCCTCTGGTTGATCCTCGAAGTCATTCCATCAGACAGATTGTATTTATGTTTGAATAAAAAAATGTCACTTTCCAACTTTGCATTCAAAGTGTTGATGGGTTGCACAACGGCTCCATGCATGTTTTTTTGGCTTAGTTCTGATTACATGTGTATAGATTTCCACTGTCTCTTCTGTATAATATACAATTATTACCCTTGTCGGAATCCAACTTTCACTTTGGAAGATGTAGTTTGATTATTTGTTTTTTTTTTCTATTTCAATTTTAATCAGGTTTTGAAATCTGTGCATACAGAAAATTATTTAAAATTTTTCCACCAAGCAGCAGGAACAATTATTTAAAAGATGGTACCGAAACTGGATGTGCCAAGTGAAAACTTTGAAGCATCTGTCAAGATGTGCCATAAGGAAAGCATCACATTTCAACGTCTGCAACTTTGCAGGACAACTCCCACTGCCTGAATCACTCAAAAGATATCTCATTGACTTTTCAGACTGTATTGATTGACGATATAATACCATCATGATATCTGATGATATAATACATGATATCATCAAATTAAAATAATTAATTGAGAACATCAATTTATTTTTAACTGACTATATCCATTTTAAATGTCACATTTTCACTGTAGTGAAACAACTCCAGGTGATATTTTCCTTTATTAGAAATTCCGTGCGATGATTGTTAATTTATCTAGATAAATACCAACAAACCAAATATAAAAATGTTAACATCAATCTTGAGAGGAAAAAAAATGGTAAAAGGAATAGTAGAAGTCACATTTGAATGAAAAACAGCAATAATAACCGTAGTGAAAAGCGTGTTAACAAAGGTGCAGCTACGTAACAATAGTGTATCGTTTTATTACATTATGTCGCACTTACGTGCCAATAAACGTTCCAATCAAATTACATGACATCCAGTGGCGGCATCATGACTCCTCCCGTCGTCACTATCTGCCGGCCGTAATATTTCCTCCAAAAGAAACTCGATCCACGTTTCAGTTGGTTCTGAAAAAGTTAAAAGTTTCGAAAAATGGTTATTATCATTGGTTATTATCATTGTTATTCAGTAATTGAGTAACATAGAATTAAAGTGAGGAGTGCTTTCAAGATTCTCTTTTTTAGTATTTTTCAAAAGTTTCAGCAGCAAATACAACGCACCCACCACACGCGTTAACTATTCTACCAATTCGGCATCCAGTGTAGATAAGTGGAATACCGTGATGGAAGTGTGCAGTGAGTTGGTTGAACTGGATAGAAAAAAAGAGACTCACAGTTTTAGATAGGTGGTTCCAACACACTATCCAGTTGTCGTAGGAGGCTGTTATTGGCTGAGATGCTGCTACTAATCTGTTGAAAATGATTTCAATGGAAAAAAATGGCAAGTTTTAGACATATTCCATAATCTATATAGCTAAAACGACATTGTTTAATGTATAGAGATTTATTTTAGAAATTTCAATCAACGTTATTAGATGCTGATTGAACTTATAAATTATGAAGCAAAACAATGTTTATACAAATTCATAAATTATCAAACAGAATTAATAAATTATCAAACAAAACAATGCTTATACAAAGTATTACATAGGCAGAATTTACTCTAATAGTAATTTTTATAGATTGGAGTAAATTGAAAATATGACAAAAATTTGGAAGTACATTGTAAAAATAAATAGCAAAGGTAAGGCGTGGTGCTGGCTTACTTGCTGCTATTGACAGACATCACAACAGACACCACAGTGAATGGATAGGTGATCTGACTCGCTATTAACTTGATGTTAAAAAGATGTTAAAGTATAACTGATTATATCTAGATAGATATCTAACCTACACAGTATTTTTACTCTTTTTTCGGTATTAGAAGCTAATAAATATGGCAGAAGTGATGAATTTTTACTGACGGAATAATTTTCAAAATGCAAATTTATACCTGTGCAACCATACTGGAGTGGAATTTAAATGCCTGAAATGAAAAATATTCTACAGTTAATAATTTCATCAGAGTAAATAAAGTTGAAATCAGACTGAAAAAAAGTAAACTGAAATTGATATTAAAAAAAATAAAATAAAAATATAAGTTTAAGGAAGTATATCATACGTCGGGTGCCTCTGAACTAATATTATTCATGATCGAGTTCATTGCGTATGTTAAGACGTTAGCAATCCAAATTGTGAACATCTCACCCACCAACCTTGGTATTAATCCACTACAAAATAAATTGTAGAAGTTTGTCATTACACAATATAATTTAAAAGATTCGATTCTACAGACAGAAAAAGAGAGAGATAGAGAGAGCGAGAGAGAGAGATAGAGAAGGAAAGAGAGAGAATAAAAAATAGTAATTATTCACCAAGATATATACTGTATTAAAAACGTTTGTATCAGAATTGCAAATAATTTAGCATCTTAAATCACTGCCTTCATGATCAGTAACAAAAGTGATTATATAGTGTAAATCATTTTAGATAAAGGCATAATAATCTAATGAACAGATCAATGAAATAAAATATTAAAAAGTAAAATCGATTCTGAAAAAAAATTTTGGTAAGAAAAAAAAATCAACCAACGCAAAGAAGCCGCTGATGCCTTCATTGTTGGAAATATCAATAACCGAGTCAAAGAAAGATCTGCAAAAATTCATGATACATATATAAACAACAATTCAACGCAACAACTTAGCCAATTACAAACAGCATTCATAAGCCAAATTAAATTACATGTAACGCTTTAGCAACCATTGTGTCGTGAAGACAGACACACACGCACGCATGCACACACACACAAACACTAAACTCACGAGAATCTAGTCTCTCTGCCCACAAACTGTGCCATTGATCTAACATAAATCACTGTAGTGATGAAAAAAAATGATGTTTCTATTAGAATTAATAATTTTTTTTAAATTATGAAAAGGAAAATATATATTAATAAATATTATCTTATCATAAAAATTATTAACAAATGGCAAAAAGTTATTTATTTATAATACAGAGAAAACGATGCATTCCTATAAAAAAAAAATCAAAAATTAGAACATTGGTTTTGGTAGTTGAAGTCAATAACGGAATACAAAATATTAAGTTTATCATTAACAACAATAAGTATTAATATTTGTTAATTATTATAATTAATTATATAATTATATTAACCATAGAATGGATGACTGCACAAGACCCCAGCACATCTTGAGATGGTTTCATAGAAAGTCTACAGACAAATTTTTTTGAAAAAAAAAAATAAGTTTATAAAAAAAAGTATGAAAAACCAAAGAAAACAAGCAGTCTTTAATTAAAAAATGCAGTGTAAAACGATTTGTTGTAAAGTTTTAGTCAGTCATAAAATATGCTAAAATATGCTGTTTAATTATATGAAATTTATGAATAAAATATAATAGATGCAATTATAAATATAATTTCTAGTGAGTTTATAATAAATTACACATTGCAAAGTGTTTTATCATTTGCTCTTGAAAAATCACGAAACATTTTCAGAGTCAAATACAAACTGTTCATTCAGAGACTTTAAAAACATAACAAAAGATGAACATTTTCTAATTGAGATATTTTCAGAACAGAAAACTTGAAAAATGTTTTAAGACAGAGCCAGTTCTTTTGAAGGGTAAAAAAAATGTTATTGAATAAAAATAAATCCCCACGCTCTTCAACAGCATCATAACTTCATCTTCCTTGATATCCTCATCTAATTCATCAGCTGCCTCTAACGACTCTATTATAGACTTACCTGTCATATTCTGAAATGTAATTAACCTGGGATTAATTATTTTATAAAATTATGTGTGCAGCTAAGCATTTTAATTTACCAAATAATCACTAAATAACTGTAAGTTTGGATGAAGTTTATAACACTATTTTGAAAAAATTAGTATCTATTTGAAATTGTGCTGAAAAGCTATTAAAGATGTTATGTAGAGAAGAAGTTCTAACAGTTTGTACTGAGTTGGTGACAACAGTGCCGACAATCCCACTCACTAATCTACAACTAAGTCCTCTGTACAACCCAAAAAAGCCATCTGTCCTATATATGTGACCAACTGTTTTTTTTTCAAATTAATCTTATATTAGATATTTAAAAATCAAACAATTTTTGGAATAATACAGTAACTTATCATTATAATAATGTTTATATTGATTATATATTGTAAAGTTTGACAAAATTTCAAACAAAATATTCATGTCTAGTGGGAAATTTAAAATAAATATATCACATAACATGAAACAATGCACATGACCTTTCAAGCAAAGCAACACAAACAACACAAAATCTAACTATATTTCATAACATTTGGGTACATATAAGTTGGATTCCCAAGCAATGTGCTCGTCAAATAAGGTGGCAGGGGTTCATAGCCAATCTGAAATAAAATGAAACAGCTCCAAGAGTCTCAAACTTTTTAATTTTAATTAAACGGGACATTAAATAAAAATTAGTTGTTGTTTTTTCAATTTCTAACATATAATATACTCTTACCAATGTTCATTTAATTTAATATGTTATTCCTTATTCATAATTTAAAATTTGAACTTTATAAAAATAAAATGAAATAAAAGAAACAGAAACCTGAATCAAAGTTTTAGCATAAGCAACTGGATGATATATGGTAGAGACAGCTGATGCAATGCCAAACTGACACAGGGAGGTCATGATGTCGTCAGGTACCTAACTGAACTAACTTATAAAAGAAAAAAACTAACTAATTGGCGGTGTTGTAAGACGACTTCACCTGCAAGTTGTTTGCACGAGCACCAGCACACGAACACAGGCAGGGCAATATCAAATCTACACAATCCGGTCTAATGAATGAACGAATCGGGTGTTTTCCCACGAAAAGATGACCGTAATACGATTTATATTTGGCAGTTTAATTAAATTTAGTTATTATTTAATTTAAAAATGTTTATAAAAGTTTGTTAAATTATTTCAAAAGTAATAAATTCTTTATCTTTTTGACCAAAAAATATTGATCTCGTTTTTATTCAAATTAAAACGACACATCTCTTAATTTTGGCGAACAATTCAACTTGTTGATAAAATTTTTACTTTATGTGAAAGGTGGCGAAAGTGAAAAAAAGTTAATTGTTTGAATTTAAAACGGTTATTTGGGTGGAATAATTAAATTTTAAATAAATTGATTAATTTTCTACATAAATAATCAGCTGTCATGCCTCATAAAAAGTCAAATGACACATTGTCCAAATGTTTCCAAATGAGGAAATCAGCTGAGGATTTGTTGAACAATATGCCGTCGACGCCAACCGCACGATTTTGTAGCAGACGAATGACGGAATTTCAGCAGGGAACTCCTGAATGTTTCAGCGCGGTGGCCATCGATTCTCCGCTGCTTAAAAGTAGAAACATCGGATTGAGCGCAGATGTGCTGAATATCGGCCAGAGGAACGATGATGACGACAGTTCCATTACTGTTGGCGTGAGAGTACGGCCATTTACCCAGAGGTGATTTTTTAACGTTTGTTCTTTTTTAAATTCAAGTTTAGTTTTGCTTGAAAAATATTGCATAGGTGTAGTGGTAGTCTAGTTATCTAGTTTTAAATTTAAGTAGTTCATTATTTTTTAAATCAAATCACAATTATATGATTCAATATTTATTTTATTTAAAATTTTAACCTTCAAATTAATTTTTAAAATCAATGACAGCTTAAATTTTGAGAATCAAATTTAATCAACGAACCCCAAAAACATTAAATAATAGAGAACTGGATGAAGAGGATGTGAAGTGTATAGTGTCGATGAGAGGCAATGAGACAGTGGTCACTCCGGAGAAAGGTGATCCACTGAGGTTCACATACGATTATTCTTTCTGGTCATTCGATCAATCGTCCGATTCGTATGCTGACCAGGTGAGTATTTCATGTCATTCATTTTTTGCATGTTATTAATTACTTAAAATAATAATTTTGTAGCAAAACACAGCAAATAATTTGGAAACCATGTTAACTAAATACGAAATAAACCCTTAATATTAGTAAATAAATAGACAAATGCTTCTTCGATTGTACAAAATTGAGAAAAAAATTTATCTTGATTGACAGGTAAAAGTTTACACCGCACTGGCCCAACCACTGTTGAATAAAGTGTTTGAAGGATACAATGCCTGCCTATTTGCATACGGGCAGACCAGTAGTGGAAAAAGTTATAGGTTGGCTTGCTTTCATATGAGATTACCAGGAGTTTTAAATTTAAATTTTTGAAAAAGTACTAATGATGCTTTGTTTATTGAATTAATATAAATATAAATAAAAACCTGTCCTCAGTGTCATGGGGCATGGTAATGATGTTGGAATTGTGCCCAGGTTCTGTGGTGAGCTTTTCCAAAGAATTCAAAATAACTCAGATGACAATGTAAGCTTGTAGATATTGTTGATTTATTATCATTATTATTGATTGATTGGTTGGTTGATTGATTGATTGATTGATTGATTGGTAAACCACCACTATATAATGATTGTTTGATTGATTAATTGATTGAATAATAAATGGCTGATTAACTGATTGATTGAATAGTTGATTGATTGAATAGTTGATTGACTGATTGATTGATTGACCGATTGACTAATTGATAATTAAACACCAAAACTGTTAACTCTCCCCACCAAACACTCAACACAAAAACACGAAGGTCATATACAATGTAGAGATAAGTTTCTTCGAGATATACAATGAGAAGATACACGATCTGCTTGGTTCATCTTCTGGGAAGGATAAATCATTCAAGAAACCAAATGTCAGTTTTTGTTTTTCAATTTTATTTTATTGTTTTTGCTGTTTTTTGTTGTTGGTGTTATTATCATTAATATTATAATGATAAAATTTTTATTGTTATTGTTCACAAATAATTTTTAAAATAAAAATAATACAAAATACATTTCAGCTAAATTTTTTAAAAGCATTTACTAATAAATTTCTTTATTTTCTAGGTTATCTCTCCTCCCCTCTTTCTCTCTCTTTTTCTCTCTCTCTCCAACTCGCGCGCGCGCGCACACACACACACAAACACAAACATTGACACATTTTCTCTCAAATTTGAAATCAACAAAACATTCTGTTCTCTTTTTCTCTCACTTTCTTTACTTCTTTCTCACCTTCCCTCACTCTCCCTCTCTCTCTCTCTCTCACACACACACACACACAAACACACACACACACACACACATATATATATATACATACGTTCTGTAACAAAGTTGAAAGTGAGAGAGCACCCGGTGATGGGTCCGTTCGTCGATGGACTGTCAACGTACGTCGTGAAGTCGTTCGAGGACATCGAAACGTGGCTGAACGTCGGAAACAAACGCCGTGCCACTGCCTGCACTGGCATGAATGACAACAGCAGTAGGTCGCACTCCGTCTTCACTCTCATTCTTACGCAGACAAAGGTCGTTGGCCTGGGGAGTGCTGCCATGCTATTTTTGTGGCGCCCGTTTGTGTTGTTGAGTTTTTTGTGTTTGTTGATTGTGATGTTGCTTTTGGGCGTGTGTTTGGTTGTTGTTAGTTGTATTTGTTTTTTATATATGGATAGCGTGCATTATCATTAATCTTCAAAAATTGATACATAACTTTTGTAAACTTCTCTGTCTACAGGCCTAGTTGATTTAGTTTTGCAGTTTTATTTTAATGAGTTTGTTTCATCATTTTTTTTCGTATAAATTGATGACCATTCTGTTTTTCTGTTTTAAATTTTCATCTTTTTCACAAACTTATAAACTTCAGAAGGATTTTTGCTTGGAAAAGTACCAACATGACATCACCGTCTACGTCATAATTCACTTTTAAATTCAACCCCAACTTAGACGTCAGTGATAGAGGGCACGTCGCATTCCCATAACATCACCAGTAAGATCAATCTGGTCGATCTGGCTGGCAGTGAGAGGCAGTCGCTGGCTAAAACATCTGGTGACAGGCTGAAGGTAAAAGTTGTGATTAATATTTATTAGTAGTAATTAATATTATTTAGTAGTAATTAATATTAATTAGTAGTCATTAATACTGATTAGCGGTAATAATTAGTTGTAATTGAAACTAATAGGTAGTAATTAATATTAATCATCAGTAGTAATGGTAATAAAACTAATGATACTAGTAAATGTTCTTAATGTAGTAATAATGTTATTATTATTTATGGCACCGTTTTCGTTTTAACAATAGTGTAGTGTTTCTAATTCAATTTTTTTAGGAAGGGTCCAGTATAAACAAATCCCTGATGGCCTTGGGGAAGGTCATATCCGTGCTCTCCGAGCAGCAGACCAATAAGAACAAGAAGAATCAATTCATCCAATACAGAGAGACTATACTTACTTGGTGCTCTGTTGTAGTTATTGCAGCTGTTTTTATTGTAGTTGTTGTGGTAATGTTGTTGTGGTGTTGTTATGTATTTTATTGGTTTGCCATCTTCCTCATTAGCATAATACCCATCGTCATCATCGCCGTGTCAGGCTGTTGAAAGAGAGTCTTGGTGGCAATTCGAAGACATGCATGCTCGCAACAATCAGCCCATCCAACCTCAACACAGAAGAGACTTTGAGTACTCTGAGGTATTCAGTATTCTGTATTTTGTACCCTATAGACATGACATGACGCAAGACAAGACAGACCTCTAGACAAACGAAATGTGCAAGAACTTGTACACACACACACACACACACACACACACACACACTCACACTCACTCACACACACATGTGTTGCAATTTTTATTCAAAATAAGTAATGAAGTGTATCTCTGCATTTATGCTATTAATTTTCTCCCTGACCTAGGTATGCAAAGCAGGCAAGAAGCATTGTGAATAACGCCAGGATCAATGAAGATCCAAACGCTAGAATCATTAGAAGTATTTTATTACCTTTTATTTATTTATTCAATTATTTATATATATATATATATATATATATATATATATATATATATTACACGTTAATGACGATGGTTTTGACGACAATGACGATGATGACTTTAATGACGTCACTCACACGTCACAAGGTCTTCAGATGGAGATAGAGAAACTGCGAGCCCTCGCTTCGGGTAACGGGGACTTAGTTGGGGGAGTATTAGGGGGAAATGGATTGAGTGACGGTGAAGAAAGATGTTTGATGGAGATCAAGTCGTTGAAGGAGGAACTGACGAGAAAGGAGAGGGAGATGGTTGAAATGAACAAGTCAGTTGTTTGATTGGTTGGCCGATTGATTGACTGAACGATTGGTTGTTTGATCGATCGATCGATTGATTGATCGATTGATTGATTGATTAATGATTGATTAATGATTGATTAATGATTGATTGATTTATTGGTCTTTATAATTGCCTAATTGGTCATTATTACATTCATCATTGTCGTCACAGTTTTTACAATCACCGTCATCATCGTCGTTTCATCATCGTCGTCATCATTGGTTTGAATATTTTGATGATTGGCTGATTGACTGTTTTGATTGATTAATCAGCTGATTGGCTGATTGGTCAGCTGGATGGTTAATTGATTGGATGGTCATGTTAATTGAATTTATTTTCTCGAATGATTAGTTACGTTTGTAATTTTTTAAATTCCATACCCTGTGATTCAAGTGAGTTTTAACTTGCCTGTGTCAGATGATTCCAATGAAGTTTATTGTGCTTTGGGATTTTGGCTCAATGAGATTAGTGCCGTCAGTATTTGAATTTGTGTTTATTTAGGTCCTGGCAAGAGAAGTTGAAACAGTCAGAGGCATGCAAACAGGAAGAAGCCAGACAATTAGAGGCTCGCTACTTCTTCACTGCTTTATGGCTGATTGAGTGTTTTGATATTTTTATATCTTTTCGTTTTCAATTTCTCTTTGCCATCTTTTACATCTGTCAGAATCTGATTTTGAAAAATTGAAAAAACCGCGTTCTGTAAATCGAGTATAAAATTTTCGTCACCAGAAGTCGGGGATATCACTGAAGATTGACCGGGACCTGCCGTCGCTGGTGAACTTGAATGAGGATCCACAACTGAACGAGGTGCTGGTGTACGTTCTGAGGAGAGGTGTCACCAGGGTTGGCAGGCTCAGAGAAGATTGTTCGTTGGAGATCCAACTCACCGGTGCACTCATATCTGACGAACAGTGGTTAGTGTCTATGTTTGTGTGTGCGCGTGCGTGTGCGTGCGTGCGTGATTTTTCAAACGAAAAAAAAACAAGAAAGGAATGTAATGAATTTGTAATTTTGAGTTTATCATTACGACATTCCCAATCTGACAGTAAATTCGAGTTTGATGGCCGGCGTGTGACCTTGACCTCACTGGGAAACTCATTAACATATGTTAATGGCAGGCTTCTTGATAATGCATTACCAGTTTTCATCCACAATGTTAGTTCACTCAGTCATTTGTCTCTTTATATTTGTCTCTTTGTCTCTTTTAAATTTTGGTCACATTATGAAATTGCAGGGAGATAGAATTGTCTTAGCTGGAGATCACTTTTTTAGGTAAAATATTTATTTGTGTTTCTGTTTTGTTTATTTTATTTGTTTCTTTGTTTGCAAACGAATCCAGTTACTGTGATATCATGGCCAGCCACTTTACCGTTACACCATTGCGCCGCTCAAGTTTTATATATTGCACTCAAAGCCGTTACATCATTTCAGTGAACGAACGTGATGATGTTGATATGATATGAGAATTATAACTTTTTGTAATTAATTCCACAGATTCATAAACCTGCTTGAAGAAGTTAAAGGTTCGTCGGTCAATCCTATCCAGTCCCTACAGCCGAAAGATTTTTACTTTGCATACCAGGAGTTCAGCACAATGCAAAACGCTAGGTGAGAAGAAGAAAATCTTTCTAGGGCGTGACGTGACGTAACTGTAATCAATACCAATTACTTTTGAATAACTTTAGGAGCTTGACAATGTCAAAACATATGACGTTTTAAACGGTTCAAAAAAAAACACTGGGCTCTTGTTAATGCCAAGAAACTTAAAACATAGTATAGCAAAATTCATAGTCAAGAATATTATTATAATACTAATTATTTAGTTATATTACTATTAAGGATTATTATTATTATTATTGTTGTTGTCGTTGTTTTTATTTTAGATTAGAGTCGGAGTTGCTGAAGACTAGAGAGAGGCATAATGAGGAGATGAAACTGCTGGCGAGTCAGACGAATGAGGAGACTACACGGATGCAGCAGCAACTTGCACAGTCCAGGTTGCAGGCGGACAATCTCCTGGTCGAGTATCAGAATAAGGTTGGTTGGTTTGGTGATCTTATATCAGTCAATCAATCAATCAGTCAATCAATCAATCATTTGATCAATCAATCAGCTAATCAATCAATCGTTTAATCAATCAATCAGTTAATTAATCAATCATTTAATCAATCAATCAGTTAATCAATCAACCATTTAAGCAATCAATCAGTTAATAAATGAAATCAATTTATCTAATTATTTAAATAAAGTTATTGATCAGTTTATGCGATCAATAAAATAATCAATCAATCAATCATATATTTGTATATTATTATTATTCTTATTTAAAGGTCACGACCTTGGAGAAAATGTTGAAGGAGCATGGACATGACCACACGACCGCCCTGGATCAAATTAGGAAATTAAAATTCGAAAATCAAGTTAATATCTCGTTGTTGTTGTTGTTGCTGTTGTTGTTGTTGTTGTTGCTGTTGTTGATCAGATAATATATTTTTATAAATAATTCTGTAGACTGTTTGTTTATCATTTTTTTTGTTTCAATAATTTTGTTTTAATAATTTTGTTTTAATAATAATTTATCAACATAATTTTTTTTGAGCGCAATTCCTTCTTTAATATCTCGATCAGATGCATCGGCAACTGCATATGAATCAATGCACCTACACATATTTCATATGATAGTTGAGGATCTTCTTGCATTCAAACCAGGTCACTGCAAAGGCAATGTCAAACGCCTTAACCGTTACACCAGCACTACCACTCTACTCAAATCCAATCTAACATTAGATAAATACCATGCAAAAATATCGTAATTATTTTGAAAAAAAAATAATCCAGACATTGGAAAGAAAGCTGGAGATATTGAAAATGACACAGAACAGTATAGATAATGTGGAAGTACCATTGAAAAAATGTTGCCCGAATTTACTGACGTGTCTCGATGACATGAAGAAAAACCTCGTGCCATGTGAAAAGAGGTTGATTGACTGATTGATTGACTGATTGATTGACTGATTGATTGATTTACTGATTGATTGACTGATTGATTGATTTACTGATTGATTGACTGATTGATTGATTTACTGATTGATTGATTGATTGATTGACTGATTAATTGATTGACTGATTAATTGATTGACTGATTGATAGGACAAGATCAAACAACGACAACAACGATACAAATAAATTGATATTGAAACTGTATGAAGCCAATAAGATCAGCACACTCCTAAAAAAAGATGCAGTATGTTTGTTCTCATTTTTCAATCAATTTTTATCAACTTTTAAGGCTTAATTAATTTATTTTTCCATCGATGTTTAATATTTAATTAATTTGTTTATTAATTACATAATTGACATTATGAATTGCGTCAGGATGCTTTAAAAAGGCTCTATGCAAATTAATGAAATCCTTTACAAATGACGATAATTTGTAATAATAATTTATGATAATAATTTTGACCGACCTATAGAAATTCTGCAAAGATTATATGGGAGGAGTCAACGCTGATGATGGACAGGTGGTTATTAAGGTGCTGAGAACATCGTTGAATATATCAACGTTCTGGTCACTTGATAAGTTTGAAGCCAAGTTGCAAGATATGAGAGACCTTTACATGGTCTGTCTATGTGTTTGTCTGTCTGTCTGTGTAGTTGTCTGTCTGTGTAGTTGTCTGTCGGTTTGTCTGTCTATATGTCTCTATTTAATGGTAATAGAACGATGATGATGTCAGTTTATTATGATAATGTTGGTGATATTTTTTTTCATTCCTACTTGAGGCTTGTGTTGCTTGGTACATACAATACACACATATTCGTACTTGCGTACACGCATATGCAGAGAATATGGTAGATACATTATATCTAATAGATACATTATATCTAATAGATACATTATATCTAATACGTAGGATAAGATAGACTCTAGTAGATCAGACGAGATATTTTTTGATCCACGTGACGCTTGGGAGAGTGAGTACAAGCTCACATCATCTCCACTCACCAATCAATTACATATGTTAGCTATGTTTCTTCTCTTCCTCCATTCATTTGTTGATTGATTAATTAATTATCTAATTATCTAATTAGTTCATTGATTGATTGATTGATTGATTGATTGATTGATTGATTGATTAATGAATACTGGGTTGATTTATAAATTATCTCATTGATCAATTGGTAAATGAGTTTTCAACTGCTCGAATAATAAAATCATATAATTTTGTCGACCAATCAAATTATTATTTTATGAATTTCTCCGCCAATCACAGGCGACGTAGCATTTCCCTGCAGAATACAAAGATCCAATCACCAATCAATCTGAACTTTACACTTGGGTTTCTTGACCTGTCCATAGCAGGTGATTGGTTGGCTGTTTGTTTCTTGGACTATTTCTGCTCACCAGCCACCATTTATTATAGATACATTAATTTTATTACCCTCTCTATTCATGTTGACTTCCTGACCTTGTAAAAATTTTTAAAATCTGATCAGTGCGTGATAAATTCTTTTGATCATTTTCTCAAAGATGTTCTCTATTTTTTAATTTTATTATTAATCCAACTTCCAACAGAATCCTCACCCAACTCTCCAACATCCACCGCTAACACGAAGACACTGACTTCAGACCGGCCACTTACCACAGCCACTGCCAGAACCAACGACTTGGTCACAAACGCACCTGCATCCAATATGTTCTCTCAACTTATTGACTTTGGTCTCAAAGACTTTAAAGGTTATTACCTTTTTTTTTATAAATAATACAAGGTCATGGTCAAAATGTTGGCATCAGTTGGCAATGGCAATACTGGATAATATCATTGAATTTTTTGCAATTCTGAATTTCTCTTTAATTTTTTCCTTATTTATAACCTCTATTTTCCTACTTAATTAATTAAATAGTTAATTAATTCGAAGTGCGACTGATGATTCAAATATACTTTCAGTAATAACGTTCGATGACTCATTGGCCGATCGAGTTTTATATCTATGCCAAAGAGTTTATAACCTCACCAATGAATTGAATAATTCTTTCTTCGAAGACAACGGTACGAAAAACTTAATCTCAATTGTTTTGTTTGTATCAAAATAATTATTTTACTTGAAAAGTAGTTACATATTGTAACATTGTATATTGTATAAATTATTTACATACAGCCAACTTTGATTTTGATACAAAAATAACCTCTGTCTCGTCATTGGTCCATGCTTTTAACTCCCTACAAACCCGCCTTTCTGATTGGCTGTGGAAATTAAATTCCAGCCAGTCGGAAATCATCGTTTGCTCTAAAGAGAAACTCACTAATTCCATTTTTACCATTGGTGGATGCATGCAATTTTTTATTCAGGTTATATTTTGGTTAATAAAACTTTTGTTATTAATATTTATTCATACATGCTAATCTCTTTATGATTTTTTTCATTTCAACTGATTTGGTTTAAAAATTAGGAGCTATATCAATAAAAATACTATAGATGCCCTTTTACGACAATTAAAATTTATATCAACAACAATAATGATAATAATTAATTACACTTACTAATTAATTAATTAACTAACTAATTAATTAGTTAGTTAGTATTAATATAAATGGTTTCCTAAATATTCATACACCAGGGACTTGAAAGTAGCATCCCGTCACTAGTGGAAGAGTATAAGAACAAGATACTGGAAGAGGTATGGGATGATTGATTAATGAGGATGATGATGACGACGACGATAATGATAATATTAGTGGTGTTTGTAATGGTGACGATGTCTACGATGGTGATGATTAGGGTAATGCTTATGCTGATGATGATGTTTATGCTGATGGTGGTGGTGATGATAATGGTTGTAAGTGGCTATAATTTGAGTTATGTTAATTTAAATATTTTCAAAATCTTATTACTATTGTTTATGATGTTGAAAATCAAGTTGAAATATGATGACGCCAATGTGGAGATATGACGATGATGATGCTGCTGCTTCTACTGTTTATAATAATATGGATAATTATAATATAATGTGACGATATAATAATTATGATCATAAATAACGATGACGATAATGATGATGACGACGACGATGATGATGGTGATTACGAAAAAATGATGCGACAATAATTTATAAAGGTACTGAACATTTGTTATCATTGTGGAAAGTTCGCTCAGACATGCCGACTGGACTGCTACAGTTTGAAGTCTGTGGTGGCTCTCATTGATGATGACGATGAAGATGGCAGGAAGGTTGTGTGTGTGTGTGTGTGTGTGTGTGTGTGTGTGTGTGTGTGTGTGTGTGTGTGTGTGTGTGTGAGAGGACAGTCAAGTTTAAATTGCGACAAATTCTCATACTGTACAATTTATTTTGATCTGCATCTTTCTGTCATCATCATCATAATATTTATTATAATTATCGTAATGCCCAAACGTTTTAGCATAATTATTCACCATCCTCATCTTTATCATCTTAATAATAATAACCACCCACCATCATCATTTTCTTAATCAATCATCGTCATAATCCTCACCACCACCACTACCGACCACATTCTCGGCAGCTTTCGAACCCGATAAAGGCGTCATTCATTCGCGGATGCAACGAGTTTGTGGACGACGCATTGAGTGCTGCCGTGAGTACTGTGCATGAAAACAAATGCAGGGCCATCAACGTCTTCCAATGTGTCAAACAAAAACTTAAGGTTGCGTATGTTATTATTGTTATTATTCTTGTTGTTATTATTATTATTGTTATTATTATTATTATTATTATAACGTGCAGCCCTCTACTCGAGATCTAATGAAGAAAACATACAAGACAGCTTCGTCCATTCTGTCCCTTCTTCAGAATCTCAAATTAATTCAAGTCAGTCGGTTGTTATTTGGTGTCTGTCTGTGTGTGTCTGTGTCTGTGTGTGTGCATGCGTGCTTTTGTGTGTGTGTATGTGTGGTATGTGTGTGTGTGTGTGTTCATGTACGAACGTTTTGGTAAGTGAACGATTGAATGATCGAATGGACAGATAAATGGATTGATGATTCAGTAAACGATAGACTCGTTGAGTGGGTGGATAGATGAATATCTTATTTGATCTCAAAAATACCCATTTATGTTCATGAAAATTGAATAAAACTTAAACCAGACTCGGCTCATGGCTTCAGAAAGTAGCTACAGCCACCAACAGCAACAACAACCGCTACAACAACAGCAGCCACAACTACAAACACAAAATATGGATAGTGATTTGTTTCTGAACGCCCATAACAGGTGCAAATTCTTCAGCATCCAGTACTCTGGCATTGTTGACTGCACCATGCAGCTGATTGATATGATCACTTATATCATAGCAGGTTTATCTTTTAAGTTTTATTTGTTAAAAATTGTTTCACTGTTTTAAAAGATAAAATGGATTGCTCCTTTCTCATCTCCATTCTTCATGGTATTACAGCATTGCAAATTACCATTTGTTAATGTTCATTGTTTTCATTATACTTTCCACTCTAAAATAATTTATGCTGCCTCTTACATGTTCTTTGTTTTAAAATGGACCATCCCAGTATAAATTTAACTAAGCAGACTTTTGCTCTGAATGTAATTGATTTTGAAATATTTGTTGTACAACTGCACCCGCCAAATAGATGAAAGCGTGATTATAAACGTCACCAGTTTGAAGTCACTCCTCGAAGCGATGGAATGTCACGCCAACAATCTCACCAACAATCCATACATCACTTCATACAAACATATGCTTGGTCAGTTTGTTTGTTGGCTTGTTTGTTCGTTCGTTCGTTTGTTTGTTGGTTCGTTTGTTTGTTAAGCTCATGATACAATCGCAATGTTTGGAAATTTATTTCATTATGAAGAGAGCTATCTTTCTATTGCTGTGTTGTATTTAAATTACAAGTTTTTATTAAACCTATGCAATGGTATCATAGGCCACCTTATGCGTTTGATGTAATGCTTTTACGGATGGTGTGTGTATGCGTATTTCATGTACTTAGAAATTACTTTAGAAATTTTTTTACAATTTAATGGCGCGAAAATTTCATTGAAAACTAATTAGTGTAAGATATGATTTGTGATGTATCATATCATATATGGCTTTGAGTTTGCCAGATCGGTATTTTAAAAATTGAAAATATGTTTTTGATATACTATATTACATTATACTATATTATATTATACTTCATTATTTTATGTTATGTTATATTATATTACATTATATTATATTATACTACATTATATTATGTTATATTATATTATATTATTTAAAAATATCGCCTCATGATTTTGGTTCATTAAAACCAGATTCCGCTGCACGCTCTCTCAACGTGACATCTCTCTCCGACATTTCAATGTTTAGAGATCGATCCTGCTGTTTGGATGGCTCGTTGGATGAGTCGCAGATTGAACTGCTCGAGGCGGCCGTTGCCGAAATAAAGTCAGCCGTCAGTGACTTTGGTTCATTTGTAACATCGAAGGGATGCTAGAATTTTTTTCTTATCTATCGTGATACAAAGTTTTCACATACATATTTATGAAATTTCTAAAATTCGACGTTTTTATTTAAGTTGCTTGTCTATTTATTTACATTATTTTATAATTAACAAAGAAGTTTTGTTGTACATAATGCTTTTTTTATTTATATCCTTAATTTTCAGTCATATTCTGTCTTCCTGTTATTTCCTAAGTGTCTTTCTTGTATATATCTTAAATATTGTGACCTTTATATCGTCAACTTCTCATTCTTGATGCAGTTAATTAACCGCTTTCAATGAGTGAGGTATGATTTTGAAGCGAACTATTTTTATTAAATAGTCATTAAAAATTGTCTTGTTAAATAGGTAGATTTCTGATCTCAACTCGTATTTGTGAAAAACAGTCTTATTTAATTGATATTGTTAACATCTTGCCGGTTCAGTTCTAAGTAAGTAGATAGATTTACAAGGTTCACTTTTAAATATCTCTTTGGGTTATTAGTCGAACTTCCATAATTATGTAAACACGTTCAGCTGAGATTTGAAAAAAGTTTCTGGCGTGCTTTTTTCGCGGAAAATTTTTTCTTGATATGTTAGGTGACCGCGTTCGCCGTTATTTGTTTGTTTAAGCAATTCTTTCCATAATTTTGTGATGCGAAATTGGTCTTTTGTCGAGTTTTACTTTGAGTTGTTTCATCATGTCAGGTGTGTGATTCACCAGCAGTCAGATTGAAAAAAATTGTGAACTGCAACTAGCAACTCAGCACAGCACTTGCTTAGCTAAAATAAAAGTTTACAGCAATTATTAATTTAAAAAAATAATTTTTTTTACGAAAATAGTTTCATAAATGAAGCCAAAATGATGTGATCTATTCAGTAATAAGACCAAGAAGAGTAATCAGTAATGTAATGTTTTCTTTCTGTAGAGTTAAATTAAAAAGAAATCAAATTAGCAATGTAAAATTTTGCAAATGTAACGACAGGTAGATACATCACAAGATTACTTGCTACGCATTTTCACCAGAACCGAAACAATAATACAATTAACAACAGTACAAACAAATAAACTACAACAACTTAAATAAAAAACAACAACGACCTTAAAAATATTTATGTGCCCACTAGAAGAAAGGACAAACTTGACCAAGTCAATGAGCAACATTCCAAACAACAGTGACAACAACAATAGGGCTTCAGCAGCAAATGAGAGCACTGCCTCGACAAGCAAAAAAATTATAACGTGTGTGATGGTGGGCAATGGAGGAGTGGGCAAAACTTCACTCGTCGTCAGTTACATCTCTAATGGGTTTCCAAGTGAATACATCCCCACAGCATTTGACAAATATTCTGGTTTGTATATTTATATATTTTATTATATATAATATTAATTATATTTTAAATTTTTTAACGGGCTTCTCTGTAACAAATTATCTAATAATAATTAATCATAGAGGTGTTTTTCCTTGCTTTTAAAAATTGACATCTAAAATTTAAAAATTGACATCTAAAATTTAAAAATTTAATCATAAAATGAAAATTTCAACTAACTTGTGCATGTTAACCCAGTTCATTGTGTAATTTTTTTCAAGAGATTATGCAGTTTAATAGAAAATAAATAAAATAATGTTTATTTGCCAGTGTTAATAACAATAAATGGAGAGCCATACGATCTACACATATGTGATACAGCTGGTCAGGTAGGTTTCTCACTTGATTAGGATTTTTAGTAAATTTCATATTTTTTAAAAGCATTGACTTGATGGCTTGACAAGTGACATTTTTTTAGATTTTAAAATTTATTTCAATTTTAGTCAGACTTTGACATCCTACGGCCATTTTGTTATCCGAGTGTTGATGTGTTTGTCCTTTGCTACAGTGTCATCAGTCCAACATCTATGAAAGACATTAGGTTGGTCTCATTGCCTCTTTTCCATATTTTAACATTCATCTAAGACTATTCTCTCTTTTTTTTTTAATTTATAAACTAGTTTAAAAAATAACTTTTATTACTGAAATGGTTGTATCATTTTTATTTCTCTCGCGAAATAATTTTTTCATCATTAAAAAGAATGAAATGGATAAAGGAGGTACGACTAATAAACCAACTAGTTCCGGTGGTGTTGGTGGGGACGCAACAGGACCTCAGAAATGACGTCAAGGTTGGAATTTGTATCAACTGTATCTTTTGATGACGTCTGGCTAACCAACCAGTTGATCATTGATCGAATAACTTTCAAATTTAAATATTTTTCAATTTTGCTTCAAATTCCTACTTAATGAACCTACCAGTGCCAAACAAATTTGGTTTATTCTGGTTGACGATATATATTTGAACTAAAAATTATGTGGTCATATCTACAAGTTTCAAAATTTATATGAATGTTTTTTATTCTATGTAAAATTGTCTTGCAATGAATGTTGTATCAAATGAATTTATATATTAACGAAATTAACAATTTTAGGTTTTATTGGACCTAGCAAAATATGGCCAGAAGCCTGTGAGTGAGGAAGAAGGTAGATCACTTGCCAAAGAAATAGGAGCGATAGGTTACATGGAGTGTTCAGCTCTGACGCAGAAAAACTTGAAAGAAACTTTCGACGTGGTGGTCGGTTCTGGTTTGAAGTTCATCGAGGACGGTCGACCCAACAAAGAGGAGGATAAGTTGTTCAGGTTCAGTCGGTTCTCACTGAAGAGGACAAGTGTTCTGTCAGTGCACGTTGTACAGAAGAATTTCGTCAAGATACAAACTCCTTTTGTTAAACCTTGGTGGCGTAGGACTTTTTGCTGTTGCATCTGATTCAATCAAAATTATTTCTATTTTGTTCGTTTGTATGAATGTTTCTTACATTGTTAGTTCCTGTTTCATCCAATTCGATCGTGGTCACAACGATTTATTTTATTTTTTAATAATCTTTCCAGGCAGCCCTCCAATTTTTCTTGTCATAACTTGATTCTTGAATGACTGACTTCCATTTTGAGGTATTTTTTTAGTAGATGATACACCTCTAACAAATTTTATTCCCTATGGTATTGCTGAGGCTAATGTTGGGACATCGTTTACAAATTACAAATCATTTTTTGTCCTTTATTTAGTTTACAATTACATGTGTTAACATTTCAGTTTAATGCTGATTGAAGATATCTAACATTAAGATGCTATCTTGTATTCCAATAGCCAAAGATGTATAACGCTTATTTTTCCGATGCAAGAATGTTTCAGCCTAAAATCTTCAATGTATTCCAGATTTGTTGTGTCGGCACTTTTACAAGTTGAATATTATTTTCAAAGATGAATTATCTAATGTACATAAACAAAGTGAACGCAAGCAAAAATATAATGTTAAATAGCATGCTATATATTTTAATATAAGCCAAACAAATTTTTACTGCAATGCAATCATACGTTGTATATATATATATATATATATATATATATATATATATATATTGCAATGAATTGTTAAGCTTTATATCTGGTCTGGGTTTTATTTAAATTATAAAGTGATTAGGTAGATTTAATGCTTAAGATATATAGAATGCAACGAAATATCTATACGTGCATATTTGTAACATTATTTTTAAAATATGCTGCCCTCGGTTGCTGTTAATGCGGATTCTCTGTCTGTTTTTAAATCGACAATTGATGATTTTTTTGGTGATATAAAGTTTAATTGGCGAGCAAACTTTTAATTTATTGTAATTGTTTAATTCTAATTGATGTCTGTAGAAAATTTCTTTAATATTTTTATTTACAGTCATTTTTCGGTTGATAATTCGAATCGAATGATGGTTTAATTATGTTTTATTTAATTTTATTCCTTTAACCTTCGGTCAATCATTTATTTTGCTTAGTTTTTTGAGTTTTGTTTTGTGATGGCAAGGGGCTTGTCCGTGCTATGAAATAATAATAATAATAATAATAATAATAATAAAAAGTTGTCACTTGTCGAGAATATGCGTGTGCCTAATCTCTTTGAGCACTTCAATGTGTGTGTGTGTGTGTGTGTGTGTGTGTGTGCAAGGTTATACAATATAGTTACTTATCATTGTTTTTAAAAGTCTCACACATATATAAATATATTATGCTTAAGCCTAGATGTGTGTGTGTGTTTTAGGCATGCATCCATCCATGTGATACAAATGCATTTCATTCTTACATCATCGGTTATTCCATGTTATGAAAAATTCGCATTCAGAGTTGAAACATTCATTTGCCTACACGCTGCTTTTGTTTTCTGTAATTGTATAGTATACAAGTTTCTTATTCTATGATTTAAAAAATGGTCAAAAAAATTTTGGCGTTAAACCTCCGACTTTAAATAGTTTTTTTGAGTTGTTGGTGGTTAATTCTTTCTGTTGATTGTTATCATTTATTTATTTATTAATTCACTCATTTATTTACTTATTTGTTTGTATATTTATTTATCAATCATGCTATTTGTTGTATAATTTACTGATTCTTAACTATTCTTTCAATTTATTTTGCTTTTTTGCTTTTTGCATTTCTACCATTTGTAGATTAATACCTATTTTGTCAATCGTTCAATCAACTTCCTCTCTATCTTGTTAACACTTTTTATATTATTTTCTATTTCCTTTTATAATTTATAAATGCATTTCTGCAGATTTGTGATCATGACATGACTGGCAGTGTCAGGGAGTTCGTATTTATTTTTCTTGATTTGTATGATTCTCTCTGAATTTTTATGCACAAAATTTAAAACTGTTTGCATAAATGTTTAAATTTTGGCACATCTCTACTGTAAATAAATTTATATCAACAATCTCATATCATTTCATTAAGTCAATGAAGTATATTAAGAAAAAATTAACATTCATTGCAGTATTTACACTATTTATATTTAAAATATATGAGATCAAGAATTTTTCATCCTTGTTGTACTCACAACATAAACATCTCTGTTTGTTGGTTTGTTTTCATCTTTGCAGATTTATGTGGTGTCTTGACTCTTTGTCTTTCGTGAGGAATGTCTTGAGTAGTCAGAGTGAGTCTTTTAATCATAATCCTAGGTAGCAAGTTGAGATGAAAAATTAAATTAAAACTTATACAGTCCAAGGCAAGGACAGGGACTAAAGAAATGAGAACAACTTTTATTGTAGTCAAATCAAATTCAAACCCGTCAAGTAAGAAGTCAGGGAAGATTCTTTTTTTATATTACTTATTTATATTTGATCATAATATCAATTATCAGATTATTTATCTTATTTCTTGGAAGATGAACAGAACATCGGGCGAACGAAGTTGATCTGGTCAACCGAATCAATTACGATTCAGCGATTGTAAATTATTGTATACAAATTTTAATAATTTCGTACGGGCAACAAACACTGAGGCAAAATTTTAGGATTGTGTAGTAATCGAAATAAAGCGCAAATCGGCGGCCGCAAAATAAATCCTGGAAAAACCATTTTTCAACTAAAGCGAAACTAAATACATTATCAAGCGCTTACTTTTTTTAAATAGAAAACTTTCTTGATAAAACTATGAGCATTCATGTCAAGTACATCCACTCCAAAGACCTAATGAATTTTCTCTAAGAACGAAGGCGAATTTTCTCTATGAACGAAGGAAAGCTTACGAACAGCAGTTTGTCGAAGTTTAATAAGAAAATATAATTCACTCACGCAAAACTCCCACCTCGTATATATACATATACATCATTGATGAAAATCACAGCAGGTTCAGCGTTAGATAGCTTCCTATTTAACTTTTCGATCTTTCTAACGATATATCGTAAATCATTGTCAAGTTTCTTGAGTTCAAAACAAAAATTTTCATTTATTTTAAGCGTGGTAGAACAGAAAAGCTTTTTTCGGCATTCCTATACCATTTTCAGCGTTCGAATTGAACATTCTGAGAATTTTGGTTTTGAACTCAAAAACAACGTATCGACCCGAACACCGAAGATAGTATGGGAATACCGAAAAAAGCTTTTTTGTTAAAATAGCTTAAAATAAATAAAATTTTTGATTGTGAACTCAAAAGACTTGACAATGATTTACGATCTACCATTAAAAAAATCTAAAAAATAAGTAGGAAGCTCACTAACGCGGAACATACTGTGGTTTTCGTCAACAATTGCATTTCTGACAGTCATAATCCAATATATAAACATATATATGTATACTCGTATACAAAATTATTGTTGAGCAGTATAGTTTAGTTTAATGCATCCAAAAATGCAATTAACAAAATTTAAGTTTGGTGTCCCATCAAAAAATACAAACTTTCTCTCTACACAGAAAACATATAATGGATACAATTCACTGCCACACTCAAATTAATGTTTTACATTATTATACATACACATATATAAATGTATGTACATATATATATATGTATGTATAATCAGCTATCAATTTATATACATCGTGTTTATGAAATTAAGACTCATAATTGTCACCATAATGGAAAATCAATCAATAATAGTAATAATGAAATAATAATATATATCAATAATATTGATCGATATATATATATATATATATATATATATATATATATATATATACACAAATGGACGAGACCACCTAACATCTGATAAAGTTTTAAAAAGGTGATCATGGACCAGCATAGTGGAGAACATTCACTGCTTTGGAGAAAAAAAAAACGGATGATTGGATAAAAATATCAAAATCAAATCAAACATAATCTACCTTCAATCGATCAGTCACATACATCAAATTTTATTAAAAATAATAACAAATTAAAAAATTTGCTCATTGTTTAGAGGTGGGTGAGCACCATTACATTACCATCAGCATCATCATTCTTTGCATAATTTTTATATAAAAAATGTATTCACAGAATGTTTAGGATGACGACGACGACGATGATAATACATGATGTTGATATGATGTCTTGTCCAAGACTGACATTTAAATGCAACGGCTTCAAATAAAAATAATTTTATTGATAACAATAAAAAAAGATCTCTTTTTTAGTTTTTTTAGTTTTCTGATTTTTTTTATTTAAAAAAATTTAATGTAAAACTTGTTTGGATGCTGACATTAAAAAAAGGCGAGTGTCAACTAATGATAAAAAAAAATGGTAGGAGTCAAAAAACTTTTATTACAGCAATATTTTCTTATCAACTATATTGATAGAGAATAAAATTATAACAAATGGCGATGATGATGAATGACCACCTACTTAATATTACGTGTATATATATATATGCAGGTCTAATGTAAAATAATATTAATACATCCCACATACCACCATCCATCCAACACTCCATAATTAAAATATATTATAACTATAATAACAACTATCATAGTGCTATGATAAAATTAAACCATTTTTATGATAATTTTTAATACGGAAGATGTATAAATAAATACTTGTTATCAGGTTTATAGAATGGTGGCCAATCTACGTTTCATTAACCACATATATCTTACCATGTTTATCGGTAACAGAATTGAAGTATGTACACTCAGATACATTAAAATTTCAACACTTCAAATTAAAAAAAACAAACAGTTAATAATTTAAGGTATTTCATTTAATAATAATATTAATTTAAAAAATTTTTTAGTTTATGTTAAATTTTTTTCAAATACTTAAAATTCAATTAAGGCATATATAAGTTTTTTTTCATACTCGCACGTACGAAACTACTCGACAACAAAAGATAATAAAGTTAGAATTGGAATAAAATTAATTATATCAGACTGGTCGTAACAATCTGAATGATTGATGTTATCATCTATCTAAATAAATTATTATGACAAATTTAATGGTTATAAATTATTATTAATAAACTCTTAACGATATAATATTAATGATAATAGATAACAATAATGAATAATACTAAATAATAATGATTAATAAATTCATTAATAAAAGTAGTTATAAACACTTTTTAACAGGTTGGCAATATGATAAATTAAACACTAATCCTTAAAACTTCTCACAAAGTTATTCTTTTTTTCTTCCATTTTTTCTAGTTAGCTTAATTTTTTTCAAGTTTAAAGTTCAAAAGTAGTTTGGAATGGAATAAATACAGTAGGAACTGGATGTGACAATTTTTAAATGTATTTGCGTACTTTCGATCTGGAAAGTTTTTTCATGGGATCTAGTGGGCAGCAGCAGGAATTTAAAAACTAACAAATTATCACTTATCTGGACTCAGCTAATGTATAAAAAAAGATTTCAATTATAAAAATATTTTTTTAGATTATTATAAAAAGAAGAATGAGAGAAAACAAGAGTTGATATACATAGAGAAAAATTAAAAAAATTAATTCTTGAACTATCTAGATCATAGTTTATACTTTTCATTTTATATATTTGGTGAGAAAAATAATTTAAACAATTATTAAGACAGTATTATACGCATATTGCAAAACAAGAGCGTACACCAATAATTATAGACGTGTACGGATTTGAACACACTCACGCACGCATGTTTATTTACAGTTATACACACATGTAACAATGCTTCTGCATAATCTGCATTCAAAAATCTAGACTGACATAAGGTAATATATGCAAATAATCATTGTTGTAACTCTTCATAGAGTATGTTTTTGTCCATGGTTGCCATTCATTATTATAATCATACTGACCATTCACCCCTGGCCATCTTTGAGAGAAAACTCGATTCAACCTTCTATTGAGGTCTTCGATATCATCATCATCGATACCTTCCATCTGACTTTTAGAAGCGTTACCAGTGCTACTGTGCAGTCGGTTGTTGTCGTCACATAGTTGTTGATCATCTGAAATGTTGCTGTGTTTTTGGGCAAGCCTATCATTCTGTTGATCTGATTTGTTGTCTTGTTGCTCTGAATTGCTGTTAAATTGTGGCTGTTGATCTGATTTGTTGTGTTGTTGCTCTGGTTTATTGTAATGTTGCTCTAATTTGTTGCGTTGCTGCTCGGGTTTGTTGTTAAACTGTTGTTGTTGCTCTGGTTTATGTTGCTCTTGTCTGTTGTGTTGTTGCTCTTGTCTGTTGTGTTGTTGCTCTTGTCTGTTGTGTTGTTGCTCTGATTTGTTCTTACACTGAGACTGTTCCGATTTGTGGTGTGGTTGTGCTGGTTTGTGTTGCTGCTCTAATCTGTTGTTTAGTTGATCGGATTTGTTGTTAAATTGTGATTGTTGCTCTGATTTGTTGAGTTGTTGTGCTGGTTTGGGCTGTTGCTCTGATTTGTTGTGTGGTTGCTCTGACTTTTGTTGTTGTGGTACTATTTTGATGTTGCACTGTTGTTGTTGCTCTACTCTGTTGAGTTGTTGATCAGACTTGTTACATTGTTGCTTATCGAACTTGTTAATCTGTTGATCTAATCTATTGTACTGCTGATAAGGTTTGTTGTCAATATCAATTTTAATTTTTTTAGGGTTTGTATTATCTACATCGACAAAAGGCACATCCAACCGTCGCTTCAGACTAGACTTGGCCACTCCATTGATCACAGGTCTCGTTGCACTGTTGTTTGGAATAGATGGTGACAGTGATGACGATGATGCAGGAATCGGTAACTTTGGTGAAATGTTATTTTTTATGTCATTTATGGCAGACTTCGTAACGTTGCTTAAAGTATGCTTGGTGATATTGTTGTCTGTAGCATGCTTATCCAAGTTGTTGTTGCTGGCAGTCTGCTTAGTGGTATCTATATTTACTGGTGGCCTAGTGACATTGCTATTGTTTTTAGGATGAAAACTATTTACAACTGGAAGACAGTCTTTGGAATATTTTACTGGAGCTACTACATCGGTATTGTTCAGTGCAGAATTATTATTAATTTTGCCATTATTATTATTTCTGTTAATATTATTTTTGATGTTATTCGTTGCATTTTTGTTTTGAGATACTAAATCAGTGAGAGCAGGCGAAGATGTGGTTGATAAAAACGTTTTTGAGGTTGGTGTTTGGGGGGCGGATTTACCTAAATTTGTTGAGATGTTTTTAACCAACTTGTTTTCCGATGGTAAATTTTTACCATTTAAACTTCTTTTACTGGTAGAAGCATCGGAACAAGTTGACAAGGTGGGGCTTGGGGTATGTGATACAAGAGAATGAAGACCATTCTGAATTTTTCCAGAAGAATCATCTTTTTTAATCGGTTGGCTAGAACCTATCAGGTTAATATGTGACTGCCATTTTTTGACCAAATCTTTTGCCCTTCGAGCTAACTCCTTGTTAGTCGTTTTTTTTCTAAGTTCATTGACATGTTTACCTATCCGTGTTCTCTGAAAAAGGAATTTAATTGAAAACACAGGCCATACTAAAATAAATTAAAGCAATAATTGAAGAATCATTTTTTTGAATGATCACCTCAAGTAACTCTCTGGTCATCGGAAACTCCTCCAACAACTTGATCGAAGCCAGAGCACCATCGATGTTAACAACCTGAAAATAAAATGTGTTCATTTAATATTAATTTTAATATAAAAAATTTATAATTTAATTTATTTTCAATATGGATCAGTCAATTTAATAAAGAATAATTTGGTGGAATGTGACGAAATTAAAATAAATAAATTTAAAGACGGATTAACAAACAAATAATGATTAAATGGTAAATTGAAAATTTTAAAAATCGTGATTAAAAAGAAAATCATTCATTACATTATTTTCGCTGTCGAGATTGGATAAGAGGCCAGTTTTAATTTTTTCAATACTATCCTTGTTCTGCATTTAATGGCGATAACTTAGAGACGAGTTAACAGTTTAGAGTTAAAAAACTCCAGAACTGATTAAATTTGATGAACATACGAGCTTAAAACTAAGAAATGGCGACCACGGCGAAGATCTGCAGACGAGTGGAGCGATCACACCAAACTAATATCAAATCTCTTCTCTGCCTTCCTTTATAAAGCAAACCACAGCAGCCATGCGCTATCAACTGACCTATTAACTTGGCACTGACCTACATGCTATTTTTATCAAAATGTTCTCAAAGATAGTAAATATTGTTTTATTATTTTAAAAGTACTATTATGCGAAGTAACAAGAAATTATAGAGGATAATTCTTAAAAATGTTGTAAACCACTTTACAGAGTTGTAAAAATTGCACAAAGTGAATTACAAATTGAATTAGAAATTGAATTACTAAAAATGAACTATTTTATTTGACAAAGTTAGTTTTCTGATGTAGTAACTTTCTATCGTGTTTCTCATTACTTACGAATAAATCACATTTCTCATTTACATTTCTCTTAATCTTATATCAATTTTATAGTCTTTCATTAAAATGAAATAATTATCAAACAATGACTGCCACTCTTATAATACTGTTATGTCACATTTAGGCTTAAAGAAATTATTAAACCAAATTTCTTAGAATTTATCTACAAATGCTACTAAATATCATTACATTATTTTCGCTGTCGAGATTGGATAAGAGGCCAGTTTTAATTTTTATTATTACATTAATAATACATGTATTATTATTTTTATTTTTACATTAATAATAATTATTATTATACGGCTTAAAAACATAATAACTAATTATAATGGTAACAACAATGTCTAATATAATTCATAATATATCATATCGTAATATATCATATCGTAATGATCGGGCAAATGGTTATAATTTGTTAATAAATTAAACAGTGGAAATGAGTTTCACACGATTATTTCATCAATAGATAATAATGAATAATAATATTTCCCCCATTCAAACATCGCTGTATGTATATTATACATCAAATATTACAGTATATATGTTTTTATATAAATAAACACAAATAATTTTGAAAATATAAAAATGTATGCATGTGAATTCAAATAGAGCGAAGATGTTTCTATTAAAAGTCAATACCCTACACCAGGGGTGGGCACAAATCTTAAAAGAATTCTCCCTCGGGTCGAAAAAATTTGTTATTGAAGTTCATATGCGGCACATCAAAGATAAAATAGTTCTCAATGCGGCCCTCACCGCAAAAGGTTTGCCCACCCCCGCCCTATAAAATACACTAATCATCACAGCAATATATAACTATTATTTTTTTACTTAAATATCGTACAGCGATTACAAATTTTATATAAACTTTCAGCAAGAGTTCTATTGCACGTTATACTCTCCACATATCGGTGTAGGGCATACATCACAAAATAATTTTTTTTCTTTCTCTCCCTTCTTCTCTTTTCTCTTTTTCTCTCTTTCTATTCACATATATACACCAATGGTATATGTATATAAAATGTATTGATGTATAATGCTGTATATATGTATTGACTGAAAAGTGATGGCTGTATAAAAGGCAAATTTTACAAAATGAAAATTTCGTATTTTGTTGCTTTATAACAAGTGCTCCATTGATCTCTGTCGTATGTTAACATAGTTAAACTTTTCGATTCACAATTTTAATGACTAATTACCAAAAAGAATGAAATTAAATAACATTTCACCACGTCATATTTCAATTCTGTTGATTTTATTATCCCTATCCGAATTTATGTCTTATCACTTGGATGGAAACCAGCATTGTTACATGCAGTTTCAAGCTTGGAAAGCCTGCGAAACTTCAGTGAACACGTTACATTTCGACTTCGAAACTAGGAGAGATGGGGCGTTGATCATCTACTCACAGTCGAACTCGGCGAATAGTTTCGAGTTTTTAGAGGTTAAAATCGTGAGAGGACAATTAAAAATACGGTATAAAGTGCAATCTGGCAATCATGAAACTTTACAGGTATGCGGAGATAGTTTAGACGATGGAAGTTGGCATAATTTAAATGTAACGTACCTTAAAAGTAATTTTACCTTCTTCGTTGATGGCTACAAGTGCTCGAGTAAATACAATCTTCCAGTTAGAAAGAATTTATTAAGCCCTGAATCGATTGAGTACCGTAAGGCCGGTACTGAAGATGATGATGGATATCTTTTTATCGGCGGTATACCGAAGAATCGATTCGATAAACCGTTAAAGTTATCGTCGGTCAAATACCAAACGACATTTCAAGGTTGGATCAAAGAATTGTTTCACGAAATTTCTAAATTTATGATTTATTGAAAAAAAAAATTTTCATCTAGCGTTTTAAGTTATATAATATTATATAATGCATTTAGTGCATCAGATTCCATATAACGAACGCACAGACACAAACGTCCACACACATACGCACATATATATAATTGTTTATTTGATTACTTATATACATATATATATATATATATATATAACATAATTGACTACTACAAATATATACTGACCTTGCGAATAAAATCTCCATCCAAATTAAATGCCAAGCAAAAGCATCACCTGACTGATACGCAGGTACAATTCGACGCGCCATGAAATCGGACTGCGGGGGAGTGGCCGACGACCTGACCTTGTTGGGAGGTCACGGGGTCAAGAGTGAAGTCGAAGATGTCTGCGCCGTCAACAACGTCTGCAAGAACGGAGGCAGATGCATCAGTAGCGATGGGGGACCCGTCTGCGAGTGCCACTTCACTAACTACGATGGGGTCAACTGCGAACGAGGTTAGAGGTCGCGGGGTAGGTCAGATATATCAGATTAAAGTCAGATGAGTAAGGTAAAATGAGTTAACGTAGGTTAATTAGGTCATAGGTTGTAATTGGTCATTAGTTATTTGAATGGTAATTAGCTCAAAGTTTATAATTAAGATAGATCAGGCCAGGGATTGATTGTGTTATATAACTGGTTGAAATAAATTTAAAGGTTAAAGGTTTTATTCAATCACGTATTTTGTTTTAATGAATGTTTTAATAAATACTTAGAAGGGGTTTGTTGGAAGAATAAGAAAAAGACGGAAACGTAACGATCAGCATGCAGACACATGCGAAGACAAAAACGCGCACACACACACACACACATACAAACACGCACACACTCACTAACATAAACAAAATTTAACCACAACCTTTACAAAGCAAAATTTGTAATTTTTTTGAAATTGTTTTTCAACTTGCTTTCGTTTCGTTGCGTTTTTAATTGATTACCTACCACTTCAGTAGTTTTGTCCGCTCGTCACCACCACCAGCAGGCGATATTTCTATCACTTTTCCTTGGCTTTTCTCATCGGCGATGGTAAAATAAAGTAAAATATGTGACGCGTAGAAACAAAAGTAAATACAAAACAGCAACTGCAGCAACTACTCCTACTACTACTCTAACTCTACTGCAATTACTATTACTGCTGCTACTACCACTACTAGTGTTACTGCTGTTACAGCTACAAACACTGCTACAACTGCAGCTGCTGTTACTACTACTGCTGCTGCCACTACTACTCGTGTAATATTTTATATTACAACAATATTCTTAACGAAAACAACAAAAAGTCATTGTTATCTGCCTCTAAAACCTCAAAACTATTGACAGACAAACTATAATAAATATTCTATCGAACAGCAGCACGAACTATGACACACACACACACACACACACACACACACACACACACACACACATATATATATATATATATATATACACACACATACACACACGCACACACACACACTCGTGCGCGCGCAGTAAATATTCGCCATTTGAACCGTCACATCTCGCCTAATGATTTTCGATGCAAGCAAACAAATAGATGCGATTAAGACCGCCAACAGACCGGTCATAATCGTATTTGCATTTGTGTCGGTACTTGTCGGTCTTCACGAATATTCACTAGGTACGCGAACTTGCGAATAGTCGATATTTTTCGTGTTTTAACCCTTTTGACTTTGCCCATGAACTTAAGGAAAAAACTTTTGCATTCATTGATTTTTTTCTTTAGTTCTTTTTATAACAAATAACAACTTTTTCGAGCATGCCTTTTCATGGGGAATTTGTGAAAAATCAATGATAAAACTAAATTTATTAAAAAAAATGCTTTTTTTAAATTTAATTTGAAAAGTTACAATCTTAAAATTGACTTTCATAACGTTATAATTTTATTTATAATCTATTTCATCAATTCAATTTTTCACATATTATAAAACTTGTGAAAATCTTTCTATAGAGAGTCACGGAGATGTGCTGATGATGATGGCCAGTGATCACGTGGTTTTGGCTGCCAAATCAGGAACGGTCATATTGTCCGGCAGAGAAGTGGTCAGTTTTTCATTTAGGACATACGCGTCTGACGTTCAACTGCTTCTTATTGGTTAGTGGTTTGATTGGCCGGTTGTTTGATTGGTCGGTTGTTTGATTGGTCGGTTGTTTGATTGGTCAATTGTTTGATTGATCGGTTGTTTGAATGGATGGTTGATGGGTTGTTTGTGTGGTTGTTCGTGTTTTGATCCCGTTCTGAATATGTGTAATTTTGCTAATTTTGTTCGTTGAAGTTTTGTTTGCTTTGCTGATATTTGTTTGTGACAACCATTGCGTAGGCGCATGGCACTATTTATTTCTTATCAAATTATTTACACAAAGTGTAAACTCAACTCGATGAAGCTTATTAACAAACAATTCTAAAAACAGCAGAAATATATAAAAGCATCAAATTACAACAACATCAAAGCCAACAACAACAGCAACAAAACACAAGCCATCACTACCACCACCACCCACAACAACAACAACAAAAACGAAATCTTACAAACTCACAAACGCGCCAAAATTGATGAGTAACGCGCGGGTTACTTAGCAACAACAACAACAACAGACGGAAGTAGGGATGGGCGGTTAATCAATCGAATATTTTGCAGAACTTTCGTCAAGAACATATAGCCCCTGGGAAATTTTCTTGGCCTATTGCGATGATGTAAAATTATTTCAAACATTCTTACGCATGACCGAATCGTATAAATATGTTAAGACTGCTGCTGTTGTTGGTGTTGATGGTGTTGTTGTTGCACTTGTTGCTGATGTTGTTGAAATTGTTGTTGATATTGTATTTTTTTGTTGATGTTGTTGTTGTTACTGACGTTGTGGTTGCATTTTCCGATGATGTTGTTTTGTTGCAACTTTTGTTGATGTTGTTGTATTTTTTTGTTGATGTTGTTGCGCTTTTTGTTGACGTTGTTGCACTTTTTGTTGATGTTATTGCACTTTTTGTTGATGTTGTTGTTGTTGCATTTTTTTGTTGGTGTGCATTTTAATGTTTTTAACGTTGTTATTGATGCTAGGTTAAATTTTTGGCAACTGATATTGTTGATTTTATCATACACCCTGTTGCTCCTGTTGAAGTTGTCAATGATTTTCTGCATGCGTTGATGTAATCGTCGTTAATGTAGTTCATATTTTGATTGTTGTTGCTGTTAATGTAATTCATATTTTGAATGTTTGAATGATTGTTAATGTAATTCATATTTTGAATGTTGTTGTTATTCATGTAATTCATATTTTAAATGTCGTTGTTGTTAATGTAATTTCCCTTTCGAATGTTATTGGTTTTTGGTGTCTATCGCTCATTTCCTACACTCAGACATACACATCTCACACATACTTATACACACACACATCTCACACACACGCACATTCACACACACACGTGTACACATACCACAAACACAAAGCCATACCATCATGCATAGCACATCACTTTTAACACTTTTTTTGCACTTGACATAATTTTTATGTTCACCTCGGTTATTTTTATCGTAATCAACTTAACGTCACTACTACCAACCAAACCACCACCAACCACAACCAACCACAACCAACCATAACACTACATCCCACCACACCAACAACCGCAACGACAACCAAAACCCACCACACCAACAACCGCAACGACAGCCACAACTCACCAACATCAACGACTACATATCTAACAGAGGACAGATCGTCAGCTTTACAAGTCCATCTCAAAAACGGTTACCTGGTAGTATTTCTACACGGACAGCAGGACAGCACGGAACTGGATGTTCACTCCGAGACGAAAGTCCTCAACGACAATCGCTGGCACGATGTTGTCGTCCTCAGAGAAGCCAGAGAGGTTGAATATTTGCCTTATATTTAAAGTGAAGTATAAGATTAAGAAGTATAAGCCAGTAAAGTGAAGAAATCTTCACTTTACTGGCTTGTTCATTTTTTGTTTTTGTTGCTATTGTAACATTTTTTTTGTTAGAGTTTGTTCGGGTAGATATCATTTTTTACATAATATTTGATTTTCTGTCATATGCGGTAGATAAACTTAATCGCAACAAGCAAACAGTTTGAAATATGTAGTGGTTTTTGAATTTGGCGTAGACTAAACTTGAACCATATCAGCGCGCCTAATAACAACATGAGACAGTACTTTTACTGCCCGGACTAACTCCCCAGACTACAAAATCATCCTAGTACTAGGCAGATTTAAAGCTAGAAGGATGTAAATAAAATCTTAAAAAAAACACAAAAAACAAAATAATTACAAAGAAAATCATGTGATCATGAGGTAATTTTGAAAAATTTGTTTCAGCAATTTAAGAAAATTTTGAATTAACCTTTTAGAATTTGAGGAAGACTAAAAATTAATAACGGCCAGATGTTAGGCGTTTAATCAAACATGCTTGACACGAGCCATGGATCGATTGGTGGTGGATTGGTTGATTGAAAGCCAGCTTGGTTTTTGTTACTTGATTACTTGCTTGCTTCTTTGATTGTTCGCTTGATTGATAAGTCAGTGTACCAGTAGCCTGTATGTAAAAATATCTTTTATCGCTATCAACTTAATTATTAAATAATTCATTATTCTATTTGTTAGTTGGTTCTATTGTGTTAAATATCACTATTTATTTACGTCTTACATATTCATATGTTTATTCATTTTTTTAAAATTTTAGTTGATTATTTAATTTTTTATGTATTCGTTTAATTATTTAATTAATTTTTCGAATAAATCGTTAAAAAGTTTGTTTTGCGCGCGAGAAACGCCAGTGGTCACAGAGGTCGTTTTTCATTTTATTTTCTTCAAGAAAAAATATTTCAACGTCTGCTCTTGCACTATTTGTCGCGATTTTATAAAATTTACATAATTTAATATAATAATAATTAAAATATTAATATATATTATTATGAATTTAATTTATTTCAATTATTTGTTTTGTAAAATTTGGTTTATTAAAATTAAAAATTATTTTATTTTCAGCTGGTGGCGAACAGAGGTGTCTGTCAAGTGAGTTTCATAATACGCGCGCACACACACACGCACACACACACATACAAACACGCACATAAAAACACACACACACGTATACACACGCATACACATACAATCAATATGTTATGATTGAAAAAACGAATCTTCACACATAAAAAATAAATTCTCTATCGCTTTGAAGTCACCGAAAAATAATAATTGACTATAAAACAACCAAATAATTTTATTTATATTACGAATTCTAAATTATTCAGATTAAAGATGAAACTAAGTAATAAAATAAAATAATAAAATAGTAGTAAATAATAAAAAAATAATAGAATAATTAACTCCCTGAGAAATAATAACAGAAAATTACCGTTATCTTGTCTGAGCCTAACAGGCAAGAAAATCATTTAGACATCAAAGACGTCTCTGATGATGAAAAAGTTCTCCTAGTACTGCTGTGTTATGTTGCGCGGTCATCAATATTCGCCGAGACTACTTTATCGCTATCTACACATCCTCTGCCTACTAAAATGATGTCGAAACAATTTGTCTTCCGCGTTTGTGTGTGTGTGTGTGTGTGTGTGTGTATGAGTGTGTGTATATATATGCGTGTGTGTTTGTATATATGCGTGTGTGTGAGAAGTATCTTTTATAAAGGCATGTTTTGGCGTGCGTGTTTTGTCTGTTATTTGTGGGTTTTTACTTGTCTGTGTGTGTTTCTCTGCGTGTCTGTGGGTACGCGTGAATGTTTGTGTTTGTATGTGTGTGTGTGTTGCGTGTGTGTGTGAGTTGTGTGTGTGTGTTGCGTGTGTGTGTGAGTTGTGTGTGTGTGTTGCGCGTGTGTGCGCGCGCGTGTGTGTGTGTGTGGTTGTCTCTGTATCTGTCTGTATGTTTGTATATTTGTGCGGGCTTGTATATCTTAGCGTATTGTTGTGTATATGTTTAAATATAAGATTGTTTGTGTAACAGAATTTTTACATCTGATCAAAATAAGACCATACGTTTTTATAAATCTAAAATTAATAGATGTGTTTTAAGACTTGAAAGTACTAAATTTAGAAAATTAATTGAAAATTTCATCGATTTAAATTTAAAGAGAGAGAGAGAAGAGCGTATGTCCGCCAATATGAAACCATTGTAAACCATTGTTTGCCGTGCAAACATATCAACATCAAATAACCCAACCATTCGACCATTCACACCTTCATTTCTATCGTTCTAATTGATTGAAAATATCTCTATTTATTTATTATTTATTTTTCAAATTTTTTCCCTTGAAAATTATTTATAGATTTATCTAAGACAATATTAAAAAACTTGTGTGTGTGGTATGTGTGTGTGAAAGATTATATTTAAGATAATATTTGAAAACTTGTGTGTGTGTGTTTGTGTGCGTGTGTTTTGTGCGTGGGATTTCTTCCAGACAACGTTTAAAGATTTATGCGTGCGCGCCGCGTGCGTGTATATGTTTGCCCGCATCAGTGAGGTTAGATAAAATCTGCAAAATATTTAAAACATGTATAGATGGATGAAAAAATGGTTGAATACGTGGATGAATTGATAGATGGAAGGATATAAAAATGAATTGATAAAAAGATAGGTGGATGAATGGATAAAAGAATGACGTAGATTTTTTTTTTATAAGATTTTGTTCAACGTACGCTGACATCTAAGGGGACCGCATCCACAGGTAAAGGCAAATGTACTAATTCATTTTGATTGCGCCCAACCAATTACAATAATAGTAATAAATACTGCTACTACTACTACTACCGCTACTACTACAATACTACTACTACTATTACTACTATTACTACTACCGCTACAACTACTACTATACTAATACTATCACTTTTACTGCTGCTACTACTACTACTACTACGACGAAGACAATTACTCTTGCAGTTTAATTATAAAATACAAAATTTTAAAGAACAAATAGCTAGAATGAAAAAAAGATTAATCAACTTGGTGAATAATATTCACACACGCGCACACACACACACACGCGTGCGCACACGCACACAGACATACATACACATATGTAGATTGTATATGAAATATGGTAGAAACAGGAGCCAGCGATATGCAACATAGACCTCTTTCATCTTAGATGTACACACATTCAATAGAAAATTGTCCTGAGTTATCCATAGATAATAATTCTTTGTTATCATCTCCTCTTCCTATGATCATGAAGTCATCGTGACGTCATCGTCATCATCATCACATCCAGCACATCGTCATCTTATGTTATGTCAGTTATTTACTTTTTAAGTAGAGTTTTCGCACGTACACACACACACACACACACACAATTCTATTAATTAATATATAGATGAAAAGAGAGAACGAAAAAGAATGAATGAAGTCGGAAGATCATAAAATTAGCGGGGAACCAAAAATTTTATGATTGTGAATTGTGAGAAAGTCCCTTGATGAGTTTACCTTTGTGTATGTCTGCCAAACAGGAAATTGAATTAGGTTGGAGTGACTAACAACCGCATACTTAATTATGTAGCGCTTGATTTTAATTTTACATTGTAGAAAAAGAAATTAAAAGAAAATGGTACAGTGATACACTGGTTTTGACTGAAGTTCCTTAGATACTTTCAGAATGAATATAGTTAAAAATTAGTCGTCAAATTTTTCAAAAATTAATTGTTAACAAATAAAATTATTTCAACAAAATTGCAAAAACTCCATAAAATCAAACACAGTTCGTTAAAAATTACAACGCTGGAAGTTTTTTGATAACCTTTGCTGAAATAATAATAGTACAATAATGTTACTACCGGTATTAACATGAAGTAGTAGTAGTTGCAACAGCAGCAGCAGTAGTTGTTGTAATAAAAGTATTAGTAGTAGTAGTAGTAGTGGTAGTAGTAGTGGTAGTGGTAGTAGTAGTAGTGGTAGTAGTAGTAGTAGTATTAGTAGTAGTAGTAGTAAGTAACCGCATTAAAGTGAATTAAATTGTTTGCGGCGCTTTTTATGAATGATTATTTGTATAGGTGACATGAAGAATGTCGAACCAATCTTCCAAACACAGCAACAAAATCAAACATACAAAAAAATAAACAAACAAAATAAAATATTCGTGTAATTAATAACAACAACAACAATAAAAACAACGTCTTGAAAACAAATCAACAAATCAACAAATCAACGAACACCATCAGCACTAACAGCGAAATCTACGTCATCTATTATTAATAACAATGACGTCACAGGGTTTAGGAGCGGAAGTGGGAGGAGTCAGTGGGTAATAAATTATCACTTGGCTAAATGTCATGGGCGTCGAAGCAATCATAAAATGCATCAGAGTCGTCGCTCAGAAATCCACCGCGTTTAAATGTTTCATTCTCTCTCTCTCCTCTCTCTCTTTTTCTTTCTTTCTCTCTCTTTCTCTCTCTCACAGGAACAAACACACACACACACATACACATTCCTACTCACAAACCTACACACATAAATTTATACCCACATAAACACATATGCATATAGATACATATAACACATATTAACACACATCATTCAAACGTATCTAGAGATACACATATACACACAAATATACGGGCTCATAGTTGACAGAAACATACTCACACGCACACACACACACACACACACGCACGCACGCACACGCATGCATACATACATACAGCACACATCTCTAGATGTATCGCGCGAAAATGCATGATCGTCGTAAACTTAAGTTACGACCTGCTTCGATTTTATGTCATCATCATCGTCGTCATCGTCATCATCGAAATCACCACCTTCATCATCATCATCACCCTTCTCTTCCTCCTCCTCCTCATCATCATCATCACTTTCAAAATAGATATCAATCAAGATAGATGGTTACCAAAGAAAAGCGGGAACAATAGTGGGCGATTTTATCATGCTATCAACTGAAACTCTATGCATAGG